CATCTGCTCCGACAGGTTCGTCAGCGGGTGGCCGGCGAGAAACCACTGGCACTCAACGTTGCCAATGGCGGAGAAGGCCCAGCACGAGCCGCATTGGCCCTGGTCCTTGACGGCTGTCACGGCGCCTCTCGCACGCCAATCCACTGCCGCGGGCGCACCAACAACCTCCACGTTCACCGGCACTCTCGCGCGCTCCTGTGCCGCCGCAAAGTGCGCCGCGCCGTTGTGGTAGCGGGACCGGAATTCCTCGCGCGTGAGGTCCGAGAAGGGCGTGACGCCGAAGGTCGCGTGTGGGTTTGCCGCGGCGTGCAGCCTCGCAAGAAACAGGTTCTCCCGGAACACGCTCAGGCGGAACGCCTCCTCCGCGGCGCTCTCGTACACCCTGCCATGCTTCTGCTTGAATTCCGCGAATTGCGACGCCAGCGTCTCCTCCGCATGCAGGCTCGCCGTCGCCGCGGGGACGAGGCACGCCATGACGACCAGGACGGCCGCGAGCGACAGCGCACGCGCCCAGCCAGACATTACTGCTTGTGTGGGTGTGTTTCCTTCCTTATGTGCCTTCAACAGCGTCACCTTCAGACTGTGGTGGTGTGCGGGCGTTGACGTGGAGAGAAGGAGCATGCGCGCGTGTATGTGCACGCCGCGGCAAAGGAGCGTTGCCACGCCACTCCGCCCCGCATGGTCGGCTGACAGTCGGGGACGGCGGTGGGTTCAGCCACAGTGGGGAGTGCTCGGGAGCTCAACAGAAGCATATAATAGAAAAAACACACGCGTGGCTGAGACGTCGATCGCGGACACATATTTGCAGTTGTGCTCAAAAAAGAAAATAAATACATGGAGCAAATCAATAAACAATCCACTCCACTGGGACTTATTTGCCCAGTGTGCCGCAGCACCGACGCTCGCTCAATAATAATAAAAAAGTAAAATGAGAAAAAAGGCAGCATCAGAAACAAAGAGTGCCCTCAGAGGCGGCGATGACGGCTGTGGTATGGCTGATAGCGACGCTGCCTGTCCACGTCGGCCAGTCGGCCACTGGAGCTGGAGCCGCAGAAGAACTCAACGGAGCCTCTTAAAAGCCAGTTGCATTGGTTGAGAGGAACAGAGGACCTCACCGATGGGCCGCTGCAGTGCGTACTCGTAAAGAAGACTTCCTCTGTGAGAGTCTCAGCACCGCACGTGACAATGGCAGAGACGCCGCTGGTGGTCAGGAGACACTGACCGGTCGGTAACGTCACGTTCTCGCACCCGACAATGCACGCGGCGTCAGTGCAGGACATCTGCACAAAGTACGATGGGGACGGTCCTGGGGCACTTGTGGTCGTCGTGGTGGTTGGCTCGGGAGTGGGTCCGGGGCCACCGACCACCGCGGAGCTCGCCTCCTCCTTGACAAGGCACTGGTTCGAGCCCTTTGCAATGCGGATGTAGCCATCCTCGCCCCACTGCGCGGTCCACGAGTTCTTGATGATCCAGTACGGCACTGCGGCGCTGTCATTGTAGCCGACGAGAAGAACGCCGTGATCCAGCTGCTCGGAGACGCAGCTCGTCATAACGCCGCCCGTGTAGGTCATCCAGCTGCTGGCGTCGACGGCAACGGCAACCGGGCCATTGACTGCAAGCCATGCGGCTATTTGGGCCTCGTCCTGCGGTAATTCAACGTGACCGGTAATCGTGGCACCCACCGTGTGGCCTGACGTCGTGCACGGCGGCGATATCCCCTCGCCCGACGCATAAGGGTAGCTGTCCTCCGTGTACACGGCGCCGTTATTCTCCTGCACAATCCACTCAAAGGCGTTGTTCATCAGGCCACCACCGCAGCCAGAGTCCGTTTTATCGCACGACACGAGCATCTGCTCCGACAGGTTCGTCAGCGGGTGGCCGGCGAGAAACCACTGGCACTCAACGTTGCCAATGGCGGAGAAGGCCCAGCACGAGCCGCATTGGCCCTGGTCCTTGACGGCTGTCACGGCGCCTCTCGCACGCCAATCCACTGCCGCGGGCGCACCAACAACCTCCACGTTCACCGGCACTCTCGCGCGCTCCTGTGCCGCCGCAAAGTGCGCCGCGCCGTTGTGGTAGCGGGACCGGAATTCCTCGCGCGTGAGGTCCGAGAAGGGCGTGACGCCGAAGGTCGCGTGTGGGTTTGCCGCGGCGTGCAGCCTCGCAAGAAACAGGTTCTCCCGGAACACGCTCAGGCGGAACGCCTCCTCCGCGGCGCTCTCGTACACCCTGCCATGCTTCTGCTTGAATTCCGCGAATTGCGACGCCAGCGTCTCCTCCGCATGCAGGCTCGCCGTCGCCGCGGGGACGAGGCACGCCATGACGACCAGGACGGCCGCGAGCGACAGCGCACGCGCCCAGCCAGACATTACTGCTTGTGTGGGTGTGTTTCCTTCCTTATGTGCCTTCAACAGCGTCACCTTCAGACTGTGGTGGTGTGCGGGCGTTGACGTGGAGAGAAGGAGCATGCGCGCGTGTATGTGCGTTGGCTTAGTTACTTTTTCTTTTCACTTGTTCTTTTTTTGGTATTGATGGATTTTCTTCAAAAAAAAAAAAAGAATGAATGGACTATATATATATATATGCTTTACTGTAAATGATGTGCAGATATAAATACACTCATACACACACACACACTGACAGATACAATGAGTTGCGTACCCATTGTGTTTATGCGGAGAGACCGATGATGGTAGCGGTAAGAAAAAAAGGAAACGAAGAAGAAAAAAAAAAAGAAAGAAAGGCAAAGTACTTCTGTAAGAAATAAAATAAAATAAAGGATAAATTAGGTTCATGTGCCAATCATGAAACAAACGCTAAAAAGATCAAAAAATAAAAAATACGCTATCCAAAAAACAAACACCCCTTCACCTTTTCTTTTTTTTTTTTTTTTTTGTGATCATGCATCCCTCACAAATCTCAATTCTTCACTTTTCTAAATATGAAAAGCAAATAAAATGTTATTTTCCTAACGTCCCCTCTCTTTCTCTGGTATTTGTTTCTGCTCTAATCCATGTGAGTGGGCGCAGTGACGATGTCGTCTTCTCTGCAGACCGATTGATTGCCGTCTTATTCCGCTCGTTTATGCATCTGGATTCCACATTTCAAGGAGAAGTGTAGAGGCAAAGCACGCACATACGGAAAGCCAACCAACCAAAATAACAACAACATAACAGCAGCCGCAGCACCGACTCCCAACATCTATACGCAACAGTAGTGAGGGACAACATGAGAAAAAATATTTCTTTTCTTTACAATTTTGCCTCACAATTCTAGTCGTACATGTCTAAACGTCGCAAGGGAGATGAAATCCCTTGCGTGGCGTAGGCCCCTTCTACTCGCAACGGCACCGATACGTCTTCCGTCCCGGAGCCATTCATCGGCAGCGGCGTGTTGCGGGCATTTTGCACCGGGAAGGTCGGTTTCGCGGGTGCGGGTTGCACTATGTAATCCGCGACATAGCTTCCTACGATAGAAATAATGATCGTCGCCAGAACACCGATAAAAACATAAAGTGGGTAAAGCTTACCACCCTGAAGGGGCGGCCTCACTTTCACTTGCTTCAGAGAAGACACTGCAAGCCCTAATGCATGGGGTTTGATTGTGCTTCTAGTTTGAAAATGACTTACTTCGGCAGCCACGCACTTTTTCGATGTGCACAACAATGCAATTTGATTGTATGCTCCCGTAAGAGCCCATCCGTAGAGGTTTGCGCCGTCGCCAAAATCACATGTCTCGGTATCGCCTAATTCCCTGCACAGAATTTCCGAATCAAAGCCATACATGCCGAGTGACCGCGAAACGGCGCCTGGTGGGACGTTTTCTCCGTTGATATTGACAGGGTCATTTTTCAAAGCGTTACCAACGGCCGTGTGGTGACCACCCAGAAAAAGCTCGTATGCAAGCTTCGCAAGATCCAGTGCAGAGGTGTAGTACATGTAGTCTGATGCGTACGCAGCGTGAATGGTGCGTGACAGAGCCACATTGGAGCCATCGCCCGTAGCATCCTGCACGGCACGTGCTGAAAGGGACACGTCACTGTCTTTGGGATACGTCGGCCCTGGTACATTCCCCACATTGTCAAGAAGAAAGGTCCCACTGAGTCCCATCGGGGAGATAAATTTATTTTGTATAAATGTCGCAAGAGAAACGGGCGGCGCCATTTTTTCAAGAACTTTTTCAAGAATATAAGTTGTCAACGCTGTGTTTAGTCGGGAGTAGCGGTAGCTGCTTCCGAGCCCCGGTTCTCCTGTCCCCCACAGACCGCCGGATAACGCTTTCGCAAAGACGCTTTCAACGAATTTGGTGATATTCACCGTTTTTCCTGGCGTCTGCACCGCCCCGCTGTCAAACCCCACCTCAGTGAGTGAAGATGTGTGCTGCAGCAGCGTGTCGAGCGAGACAACGGCGGCAGGGAACAGCGGATTCTGGAAGGCGACATTTCTACCGTAGGGCGGTGGTAAAAAGCTGCGTGGAATGGGCTGTGTGCGTGAAAAGGGCAGCTCACCCCTGTCTTCCAGGTATGCCACGGTCATGACAAGAAAAACCTCGGAGAGGGTGTTTGTACGGAAGCTTGTGTCAAGGGTCATTGGAATACGTTTGCCAACAACCGCCCGACTGCCGAGCGCAGTTGTTGTAAAGGCATCAATGCCCTCCTCATCCTCACCCCATGTAACGACCGCCCCGCCAAACACCCTCGCATCCTCCCTACAAATGGCAGCAAAGTACGCGTTAATTTCCTCTAGACGTGCTGAGGCGGTGGAGCAAATAAAGCAGACGGCTGCAACGAAGCACAACAGACAGGGCATCGACCACGACGACAAGTGACAAATGCCGCCGCTCCTGCGAGAAGTCACACAAAAATGGCGCGGTGGCCGCAATCCGTGATGTGTCTCTGGGGCTGTGACCATAGAAATACCCCCCCACACAGAGAGAGAGACACACACACACAAAAAAAAAAATAATAATACGTACACACTCGTTCCCAGAATAACCGCTTTTTCTTTTGTCGATCCTAATATTCCCCTTTTGGACGAGTTCCTCCGGTAAACAAGCGGGGAGAGAAAGAGAAAAGGAAAAGTAAATGAGAGCGGCGATAAGAAAATGGAAAAAGCAGACACACACAAACACACAGAAAAAGACAGACAAATTTTTTGCGTGCTCCTTCTCTCTGTTGGTGAATCATGCAAAGAATTCCCCCTCCACTTTCCACGGCAAGGGATTATCGAGAACGCGCCCCGCTCCAAAAAGAAAAAAAGGAGAATTCTAAGTGTTGCTTTTCAAGACACCAAAAAGGTTAGGCGGCATCTGTAGCTGCTCGCTCCAATGACCACCACATTGCCATAATCCATTCCTGTAGCGAAGATTCGTGTTGATCTCGATGATGATGGCACGTGTGGACCTCCACCGCCCTGGCGGCGCGGAGCCACGGGGGTGTGACGGAAATCTCATGCTTCAGCTTCTTCACAGATCCATCTTGCTCCATGCGGCGGCGAGAGTGCAGCAGCGCCAGACGACGACGTGGTGCTGCGTCGTCAGGTGAGGCAAGTTCATCTTTCTTCACCTTATCCACCTCTTTATTCGTTGATTTGGTGCTGCCACCCTCCGCAGGCGTGCCCTCTTTATCTCTTTGCGGCGGTTGAGGTTGACGTGGATGTCTGTGGAGACGCACGTGCGGTGTCACGCACAGTGACCTTTCCACTCGCTCCACCAGTCCCCATGTGCCGCCACACAGTTGGCCCGGTATGACGGCGTCCTTTAGCACGCACGCCTTGAATACCTCCCACCAGCCTGTGAAACCAACACTGCCATGTCCCAAATGTCCCGTTTTACCCCCACCGTCATAACTAGCAATGGAATTGCTTCGGTCGGTTTCATTTTTATTACTCTCCCGCTGGCGTTGGGCGAGAGTTGCAAATAGACCTACAGTGACAAGCAGTGACTGATGCGGTTGCGGCATAAGACAAAGGGCGTACCCGACAGCGTGCAGGTGCCGCACAACAGGCAGGGGAGTGGCAAGGGCAAGGTCAACTGTGTTGGACGTCACTTCCATCGCCCACGCATCGATCTGTGGTATGACATCACTCGATAACGCACGACACAGCAACAGCGCCTCTAGGAAAAGATGAATGGCGCATTCAACAAGGCACTCCAGCTCCTCCTCTACAGTTGGAAATAAGGCAAGAGCAGTAGGCGGAACTTCATTGGCAGTGGTATGCATCCTACCCTCAGCGGTGCCCCACGCCTGTCGCCTTGCTCTCCTGCCATCCACATCAAAAGGGCCCTTTGCGGGTTTCCCCCGACATTCGACAGCACGTTCTTCCTGGCTATTCTCATTTTCAACAGCGGCCGCTGCCGTTAACAACGAGTGCTCCCGTGGCTTCTCCACGAAGAGACCCCGGCATCCCATGAGGCGACGCGCGGTCGTCGCGAGTGAGAACACAATCGTTGCGAGGGGGTCCCGTTGGGCCGCAATGCAGGAACTCCGTCGTAGGGGGACGGTGTTGACAATTGTCTCCTCGTTTGTCGGTTGCTGTGCATGATGCTGATGTTGATAATTTCCCCGGCGTCTCCCGCTACCTCCCGTAGACGCGGGTGAGAATGACGACAGAGGTGAAACAATCGCAGAAACGGCTCGTGGGTAAAGAAGATCCACCCGCACGTAAATTTGCGTCAGCGGAGAAGAGGTAGACCAACACCGGCGGGGCGAGGACTCAACATCCGCAGAAGCAGCAGCGGCAGAAACGACTTTTGTTCGCCGGTTACAAACTCGCCTCCTTTTTTCAGAGACACTCTCACCTCGCGTCCCCCGCCGTCCACCGCCGGTGTTATCATTATTGCTAGCATCCTCCTCATTATCATCGTGTGGCATGAGCGGCAACACATCAATCCCCTGCACATATGCCTCGTCAAGAAGTCGCACCCCAAGTATGAGATCTCCCGTGGCATCTATCTGTGATGAAGACGATGGTACGCGTAGAATGACACCAGGCGAGCATACTTCACATGAGTGAAATTGGCCCTCTTGGGCACAATCGGCACTGCCACCAGTGGTTACTGTGCCACGATCAGCTGCAGCAGAGCGCAATGTGCCGCTCACAACACGTGGGGATCCTCGTGGCAGCCACACACCAATACGAGACCCACGTCCAACGAGATTAAAATTCATTAAAAAGAAGGGCGGCGGCAGGTTCAGGCGAAATGGCTGCTGTTGCTGCGCCTCCTCCACAAGGAGACAGCAGAGAATACTGCAGAATGCGGTGAACTGCGAGACGGAACGCGGCTCCTGCATCACAATATCGTGCAGGTGTGGAATGTCTTCCACGAGCGCCATGTTCCCCACAAGCGCGGCAATCTTCAGTGCACATGAAAAGTAGTAGGCACGTGCAAAACGCTTCCCACAGCTGTCTACAATCGCAAACCACTCGCTCAGTAAATTCATCGCCACCCGTTGCACCGCCACTTCGTCCTCTGAATGCATATGTGTCGTGAATTGTGTTTTTCTCCTGTAGCTTCTAGGAGCAACACCATCGCCAGTAGCTTCTTTATTCGCATCATTGCAGCTGTTGATTTTCGTGGGTGTGGCCACCGCCTCTTGAAGCTGTAGGAACCATAAGACAGCATTTGACCACGAACGCGCCTCCTCCGTGCCTGTCCCTGACGCAGATGGCGATGAAAACGCCGTGGACGGGCACCACTCCACCGCCCACAGGGTACCACTGTGAAAGAGCAGCGCAAGAAACAGTCGATCTGAACCTAAAAGATGACGCCACAATTCCACACAACGCCGCCAACGCTGGGCGCTCTTATAATGCATACCACCACCAGCAACACTGCTGCCACCACCGCCAATCTTCTTGCCACCACCGCATGGATCGCGCCCCTCATTACTGTCTTCAGCCTTTAGATGGCAAAACTCGTGGTCCTTCTGCCGCGGCGCCCTCTCCGGCTCGACCGGACTGTTGTTACTGCTGGTTCCAAACTTCTTATTCCTCCGCTTCTTCGCCATATCCACCACGTCACTCTTGTCGTTCTCGTCATTAGAATCACCGTCGTCATAGTCGCCGTTATGTTCGTTTGTGGTGAATGTGATATCCCCTGAGAGGTGCCGGAGAAGCACCGGCAGCAGCCGTTCAAGCACCTGCGACATTCCTTCTTTAAAATGCACGTAAATAATGCAGTGCGGCATGCGCACAAGCGGCAATTGCGTGTGTGAGTGCGCATGAAAGAAGCAACCGCCACAAACAACAAAAACAAGAAAAAAAATAATAATAAAAAAAAACAGCTCAGCAAAAGACAAAACGACAAGCCAAAAGAGAAGGCAAACAACAAGAAGAAAAAGAAAAATGAGGGGGCAGCCGGGCGTATTCAATAATTACCCACAGCAGCTGCCAATAAAACAACAACAACAAAGAAAAAACCGAAAATAATTCGCCCCTCCTCCCACACACACAAAAAGGGATCTTTCAATACGCCCCCCTCTTGTCGTCCATCGCTCCCCAATTCTTTTCTTTTCCTTTTCCCGCCTGCTAATTGGCCCAAACATCACACTTTAGGGACATGTGTCGTACAAGTGCTGCATCAACGTCTCGGCGGTGTCGCCATGTTTCATTTCCCGCACAAAGGACTCATCACATGTGCGTAGAAAAAGATTCTGCCGCTTTTCCTCAGCGAGTGTGCTTGGAACCGTCGGTTTGCGCTGTGCAATGCTCTCCTTGTACCGCTCCAACTGCGAGGCAATGAAAGTGGCGTCGGGGTGGGCGGGCGGAATCGTGTCGCGTGCAAACTGGAGGAAATTGACAGTGTACTCATGCCCGGGAAAAAAAAACGTGTGGCGGTCCGCCTCTTCCTTATCAGTCGCATTATGATGCAGATTGTACACCTTCCGCAATGCCCGGCACATGTGCGCTGCGTCACCCTCAAAGAAGGCCCCGATGCCGCCAACAAACATCGTGTCGCCCGTGAAAAGCGCCACACCGTCTTTTTCGGCCTGTGGGTGATACACTTTGTACAACACATGCCCACGCGTGTGACACGGCGCCTCCAGCACCTCTACCTGCAGCGCCCCAAGTGACAGGCGGTCGCCCTCACGAACCGTCTGCGTAACGCCCGAAATGTTGTCATTCACGCCGCCAATGATGCGGAAGGCACCTGCAGCTTTTAACGCTTTCGGCAGCACAACATTACCGCCGGCATGATCCCAGTGTTTGTGGGTGCTGAAAATTGTGCTGAAGCTCATGGCACCGGCGCCTCTTTCATCTATACTTCTTCTAATGCGTTCCACGTAGTCCACGATGGGAGTCGTGTCCGCGGAGACGTCCACCGCTGCCATTGTGTTGGTGGTTTTGTCGTGAATGATGTAAGTGTAGTTGTCCTTCAATACAGGGATGACCGCCACGGAGAAAGCGGCCCCCATGTGTTTTACAACCACTTCCATCGTATTGGTATGCATCCAGCACAACGGTAAATAAGCCACACACCCAATGCCCTACCCCCCACCCCTCTTTTTTTCTTTTCTTGTTTTTTTTTTTTCTGCCTCAATCTACGGGGATGTCGTTTTCGTGTGTATATTTATTTATTTGCAAAGGGGGGAGGGAAAAAAAAAAAAAAAAAAGAGAAGAGAAAAATTTTCCTTTCGTTCCGATTCGATCGGAGGCAAAAGATCAAAATGACATCCACCACCAACAAAAGAAACAAAAGAAAAAAAATGCACAACACGTTCAGCCACAGTCAAAAAGACAAGAGACATGTGAAGTTACATGCACCCCATCCATACACCCTTTCCTCCCCAAAGACACACAAACACACACACACAGAGAGAGAGAGAGAGAGAGAGAGAGAAAAGGAAAAATAAATAAATAAATAAATAAGGCTCTATTTCACATCCTCCTCTCTATTCCCTTCACACATGCATTCCCTCCGTATTCATCGTTAACCCATTTCTTTGATTTAAGTTAAGTTCCTCCTGCGTGACGGGTTGCACGGATCAAACGGGCCCCATTTTCGCATCCACCCGCCCCCCTCGTTCTTTTTTTTTTTGTTTGACTTCACCGGCTCCTCTTGATTTGTCTTGCGTCCACGCAACAACCCACCGGCCGTTTCTCGGGGCATCACACACCACCGGCCGCAGCCACAGCCGCAGAAAAACAGACACACACACACATAAAAAATAAATAAATAAATGACATCAACAACAATGACACAAAAATAAAAATAAAAATAATGATCGTTAAAGCGACCCCTTCCCCTGTGAAGAAGAAGAAGGAGCGTAAGACAAATCATACAAACAAACAAACAACAACGAAAAAAAAGAGAGAAACATGTAATTAGATACATAGAGGTTTACATATGCATACATATACGCATGCGTACAGAGAAAGGGAGGAAGAACTCTCCCAAATCTTATCCATGCAGAAAGATATAAGCTCCACTAAACCCCCCCTCCCCACCCCTTTATTCCCACAGAGTGCAGGGAAAGAGTTCATAATCTTAGTAATTCTGGTCTTGACAGGCGGTCATGATGGCCATTGCGGAGGCTTTCGTGTTCGATCATCTATGCATCATGAACCTCCACGCCACCGCCTGCCGTAAGCAACAAAATGTGAGTTATTTCCCCTCCTCTTCTACTTCTTCTCCAAGTCTTTGCGTATCATGTTGGACCGCCGCCGTCTTTGCAGTTTGCGCCAACCGCGACATTCACGCTCCCGCAGCTTAATGCCGCGCCGCTCAATCTCCGCGCGTTGGGCGTCTGCATCCTCGTACAACTCCTCTGCGCGGGCGCAATCCCCTCGCACGTGATGTCTCCCCGCCTTTCGCGTTGTGTTGTTTGTCTGACGTATCATCTGCTTCACCGTGACGCCTGTGTGGTACCGCGGGAAGTACGCAGAGCGCAGGGCCACAGGCGACCACGCCAAAAGAGGTTCCGTCCACGGCGCAAAAACACATCGCAGCGTAAACGGCGAGAAGTACAGGAGCAATGCAACCAAAATTATGATCAGCAGAAAGACGGGCACGACGACAGCAATAGGAATCCAAAAGTACAGTTCCGTGGAGCAGTAGAGGCCGTAGGCGGCCATCCCAAGAGCAAAACATGTGATGGCGTAATACGCGGCAAGGCCGACACCCATCGCAAAGCCAACAATGAAGCGACGCGTGGCTGAGAAGAGGTACTGCCCACTGTTGTTTGTGCGCGGGATGTAACCCGGTGGCTGCGAGGGGATGCCCCTGAAGATGCGTGCGCTAATTGCCGACGCCTCCTGCACCTGCATCGCAGCCACAAACATTGGCATAAATAAGAGCAGGAACGGTGGAACGGAGGAAAAAATGGCAAACCACCACGATATTTGAACCGACTCTCGGTCGTCGTTGACAATCTGCACCATCATGAGGATCAGTCCGCTGTAGGTGTAACCGATCAGTGCCCCCAGTACAATAAACGGGGCGGCGCCAATAAATCCATCAACCAAGCGCCCAAACCAGCGCTCGTCCTTCGAGGAGAAGGCGTAAAAGAGGAACATGGTAATAAATAAAAATCCGGCACAACTTCCAGCCGCAACATAAATTATCGTGCCCCGCATGACGTCAAGTTCCAGCAGCAACAGGGACAGAATCAAAAAGGCTATAAAGGCACCTAATCCCACCACACATGCACATGTAAGCCAAAATATTGGCTCTACTGGATCATACTCTCCGCTACTGTCATATGGGGCCATGGAAATAATTTTCTTGTTCTTTGGCAGGTAGTTTGGATCATACACCGCTGACCCATCGCTCTCCACACGCAGTGAAGGATTACGCAAGATGGCTTGCAGGTCTTGTAATTCGGCCACATAAGGATCATCTGTCTTTTTGCCGTCAACGAGTGGGTTTCCAGGTGTTCCGGCACCAGAGTAGCCCTTTATACTGTGATACGTGGTACCAACGCGACTCGCCCCAGAAAAACCACTGTGGACACTCATCCCACACAAACTGACAAACACAAGCACGCACAGAGAGAGAGGGGGAAAAAAAAAGGAGTTTATTTCCGTTGCCCCCGTTGGGTGTGGGGCTCTATTCCTTTTTTTTTTTTCTCTTTCTTTCAGATGTATACAGACGTGCGTGTCAGCCAGCCTAAAGCCACACGTGTCTCGTTTGTGGTGTATTTCTTTCTCTTTCCCCACCCACCCACCCCCCTTTTTTCCCCGTCTCAAAGACAAAAGAAAAAACACACACACAAAAAAAAAAGAAAAGGAACTCAGGAATGTCGTAAAAATCCCCCAACAGAAACACATGGCAAGATACATACAAATATGTGCGTTTGTTGATTTATGACGTGCGTGCGCATGTACTCGTATGCATGCGTGCAACAAAATGGAAGAGGGCAAGAAAAAAGAAAAAAAAAACAGCGGAAAAAAAAACAATAATGAAGAAGAACATCAACACTAAGAAATCAAAAGCCACCAATAGCACAACAACTACTAATAATAGCGGCAGGAGAGGGAAAAGAAGAGGCCCAAAGCCACACACACACACACACAAGAACAACAATAACAAAAACATGCCATTTGCTTCTCTTCGTTGATCCCTTTCCCCTCCTCCTCTTCACCATCTCCCTTCTTCCCTTAGATTTTCATTTGTTTGTCTTTCTTCCCTCACTTCTTCTTCTCTTATTGTACCTACCACGCATATAGCACACACATACATACAAAGAGACAAGCGCACACACATTCCCCCCTCCCCTCCTTTAGCAACATACACGCACGCACGCACATCTCTTCATCTTTTTCTTCACATTCTTCGTTCCTATGAGTAAAAGTCGTACCGCTCATCCCCCGTCTTTCGAATGACAGTACGGTAGGCACCCTCCAGATCCTTGGGCAACACAACGTAACGGTTTTTCCGCACCGCAAGCATGCCTGCCTCCTGGCATATGGCTTGAATGTCCGCCCCGCTGAGCTTCTCCGGTCGTGTAACAAACTCTTCAAGATCCACCTCGGGCGACAAATTCATTTTGCCTGTGCAGACCTGAAACACAAGTCGCTTCTGGCGTCTGTCGGGAAACGGGAACTCAATTTTGCGGTCCAGCCGCCCGGGTCGCAGCAGCGCCGGGTCCAGCGTGTCCCAGCGATTTGTTGCCATGATAACCTTCACATTCGTCGTCTGGTCAAAGCCATCCATTTGCGTCAGCAGCTCCACCAAAACACGCTGCACCTCACGATCTGCACCTGTCTGTGCATCAAAGCGCTTCGTTGCGATGCTGTCGACTTCATCAATAAAAATAATAGAAGGCGCATTCTCGCGGGCAAGACGAAACAAGTCACGCACCTTCCGCGGCCCCTCGCCGAGATACTTCTGCACAAACTCAGAGCCCGCCACAGTGATGAAGGAGGCTTTTGTGTGATGCGCCACCGCTTTCACCAGCATTGTCTTGCCTGTGCCAGGCGGACCGTACAACAACACACCACGCGGTGGGTCAATTCCAATCTGGTCATACAGAGAGGCATGTGTCAGCGGCAATTCCACCGCCTCGCGTATCTCCTGCTTCTGCATGTCAAGTCCACCCACATCACTGTACGTCACGCTTGGCTTCTCCTCCTTTTGCAAGAGGTGAATTGTGGAGTCCGTCTCGTTTGGGAGAAGTTGCACGCAGGCATTGCTGCCCTTATGCAGTCCCACACTCGCCCCGGGCTTCAGTCGCTCCTTGTCAAGCGTACTAAGGATGCGTACATAATAATTGCTGCTGGAGGCCCCGCCAACAATCCCGCGCCCCGCATCCACCGCCTCTACAAAAGTCCCGAGAAGGAGAGGAACCGCCTGAATGCGCTGCACCTCCTGTTTCGCTGCGGTTTCCTCCTTCTGCAGGTGGTGGGTTTCCGTCTTGCATATCATCGTCTTAAGCTCCAAGTTCTGGATTGTCTTCACCAGTCGCTCGTGCTCCTCGTAAAGGCTTTGCGGGGCCACCGCCGTGCTGGCAGCCACACCAGCCGCCGCCGTTTGCGCCACGGCGTAAGTCATCCTTTTCCCACCGGCAATATATATATATAGATATTTGTGTCGCTTTGCCTGTTTCCCTTTATTTTCTTTTTATTTTTATTCCGCAGCTTTTCCTTTCCCTTGTGTTTGTCTGTCCCTGTCCCAATGGACTTTGCTAAGTGGATACAAAATAAATAAATAAAATAAATAAATCTCCCTATTTCTTTCCTTCTCTCTTCCTTTGAGTCTTGAATTATTGCCTCGCAGTGGATTCGTTGTTTTTTTTTTCTTTTTTGTGTGTCTTTATTCCCTGACGCAGCCACGTGATACTCCACACAAACACACACACAAAAAAAAACAAAAAAAAACCACAAGAAGAGACAGAGCCACACATACGCATACGTACAAAAGGGTGTACATGCACACATGTTAATCCCCCCCTCCCCCCTCCCCACAACAACACAATGCAGTTACGTGTACGAATACATAATCGCATCCACAAAGAAATACATGTACGCATATGGGGCGAAAGACTATATGTATGTATGTATGTTCCTTACTTTCTTTTTGTTTTACTCCAGAAAAACAATTTTTATTTATTCATTTATTTTTATTTTTTTTTATTTCTTAAAGAAAGGAAAGAAAACATTTTCCCTTTTCCCCACTCTTCTCTTCCTTCCCTCCCTCTCTCTGTAGTTATTTATATGTAAGTAAGTTGGGAGTGGGGGAGGGGCTAAAGGCAAGACACACACACACACGGAGAGAGAGAGAGAGAGAGAGGGGAGGAAGAGGGTGAGAAGTAAAGACAAAGCAACGGGGTTGCATGTGGCGTGGAGAACACAGTGGCATCATCCCATGCCTCCTCCACATGCGCATAGACACACACACACACACACACACAACGTTCCGTAATATATGGGAGCAAATAAAAATAAAAACAACAACAAAAACACATTTTCTTCTTTTTTATTTTATTTTTATTTTTATTTATTTCTTGTTTTTTTTTTTATTTTTTTTTTCCCTTTTGGTATTGTATTTGTGTGCTCACGTCATATTTATCTTCAAAAGCGTACAAATAATTCGGCAAACAAAAAGCAATAAAAACAAATAATTAATAATAATTAAGAAGAAGAAGAAGACGCATCGAACAAAATAAAACAAATAGAAATGGTCAGTAAAAATTAATCACACAAGTCAATGGCATACAGCTGTATATATATATATGTATAGATATACAGGTGTGGGTATATGTGGTGGGAATTGAAAATAAGAAAGAGAGTTTTCGTTTTGTTGTAAAAAAAAAGAAAAAAACAAACAAAAAAAAAAACAAACTTTTCCTTCCGTCACAGAGGTAGAGAGAAAGAGAGAGAGAGAGAGACACCAGCAGTAACATCCCCCCCTCATTCCTTCTGATAATTGGCAATACACGTAGGGATGCTTCATTTAAGGGATTGTCTTCTTCTTTCTTTTGGTATTTTCTTTCCCCCTTCTTCTTCACTCCACTCCACTCCACTGCTGCCACGTAATTATCACGGATGCTAATGAATACAATATAAGTGTATGAATGCGTATGTACAGTTCTATAAAATACTTAACTCCAGGCATGCGCACATGTATGCATATAGATATATTACCAGCAACAAAACGTTCTATTGGTTACTCTTTTTTTTTTTTTTTTTTTTTTTTTGTGTGTGTGCGGTTTTTGGATCTCCTGCGGTGTCAAATGATCGCCCACCCTCACTGTTTACTTTCCCAGCCTCGTAGGAGCCTACCCTGCAGCCGCAGTGCGTCCAGACGCCACTGCCGCAACTTCTCATTCTGCGTCAAACGGTGAAGGGCACTGCTGGTGCTATCAATACTCGCCGTACTCCTACTTCTGGTGCTCCTGCTGCTGCTGCTGCTGCTGTTAACGTCATCGCCATCGTACTTGGCGCCAGCATAACGATCGAACGAATTTCCGTCTATCCTTCTGGTGGCCATTTGCAGGGAAGGGGATGATGAAATCGCCACCGCCACTACACTCGCGTTGCAAGAACGCTGGGGGTGATCCGAGAGACTACTAGTTTTGGACAATGCTTGCACGCCAAAATCATTTGTTTCTTTTTGTTCCTTCCACGTGGGGTCCATCTCCGCAAATGACGGAAGACTGTGGCGTCTGTGCGGCAGCTGTGGGCTCGACATGTCACTAAGCACGGATAAATGCGCAAATGCAACGGGCACATGATCCTCGTAGTGGCAGGCGTCAAGACCACCACAAGGGTATGATGCTATGCGGAACAAACGGAAATGATGCGACTGCTCCCTTTGTTCTTTGCGGGCTCTGCAAAGGTGTTGGTAGCGACGACATAAATCCCGCAGTGCTGCCCGCAGGCGATCCGTCGACGCCGCAGGGTCGTTCAGAACCTCCAAAACACGTGCGCTATCGGTTTCATACGTTGAAGTGAGATCTACGCCACTAATACTGCCACCGCGTGCATTTGTGAAAAGGCGATCTCGCTCCTGAGAGAATATTTCTCTCTTTTCATCATTCTTTCCTTCTTCTCGACTCAACGTCTGGCTGTTTTCATTGCGACCATGCGGCGCTTCGCCCTTGTCGGGGCCTCTCAAGGCGGCTTGCCTAGCGGAGCGCAGCGCCCTCAGCGCCCTCCGGTATTTGTACTTGTAATGGCTTGTGCTCATGCGCTGCAACCGCACCTCTCGCAGAAGTACCATCATCGCCTTCTCAGTGCCCAGGGATCTGCACAGCTTCCGGACTTCCTCCATGCAGCAGGGGGCCGCACTGCGGTGAAGTGGCGAGTGTTTCTCATTGAAGCCACGCGGCGTGTGTCGAGAGCATCGCTTCACGTCGATGGGTGACGGGGCATCTTTGCCGCTGCTGCCGCCCATCGCTGCTGTGCGTTCAGACCCCTTTAATTTCTTCGGCTGCATCGCCGCAACGTCACGAGGGGCTCCCGTGGCGTTCGACGGGGTCATGCACGACGGCAGGGGAGGGCCGGTGTGGGCATGCGACATTCCAAGAGCCTCGCGGCGGGTGTGGCGGGGAAGAAAAAAAAAAAAAAAGCCCCTAACGGCGGCAAAACACACGCGGAGTCAAATAACTTTCAAGACACACACACACACACACACACACACACACAAGAAAAAAAAACACAGAAAAGAAAAAAAAATACTACAGGGAAACTGAAATAAAACTTAAAATGCCTCTTCACCTTGCGGAAGAAAAAAAAAACAATAAGAAGGACAGACACACACACAAAAAAGAAGGACATGTAAGTCATGCGCATGCATGTAAAGAGAAGTGGCTGGTGCGATGGTAAAAACACAAACAAACAAACAAGAAAAGAAAGAAAAGGAGGAACGCACGGATCACGCATCATCGCACTCTCCGTTGGCGGAGAAGAATGAGGGCGATAATTCCTCCTCCCGAGAAGAGACAAGCGAAAAGGAAAACAACAACAACAACAACACACACAATTTTTTTTTTTTTTTTTTTTGAATGAGCCTGTCTCTCCCTCTCTCTCTCTCCCTCTCTCTCCCTCTCTCTCTCTCTCTCTCTCTTTGAGTGTTTGTGTGTGTGTGTATTTGCAGCATCGCCAGCAACCGCATATGTTGCGGGGATGCGTGAAGAACAGTTACAAGCAAACACGTACAATCGCAAACAAAAACATGTAATCGTGCGCCAAACAAAAATAAAAATAGAAGTAAAAATATAAATATGATTCTTGCAGAATGAAAAAGAGGAAATGCACGCAAACAACAACAACAACAAAGGAAGCATGGATGGAAGGAAAGAGGGGGGAGGCACGCACATGACGCGCTCCAGAAACGTCTACTCTTTTATATGATTTCCCTCGGATATTTCCATCTCCCTTCCCTCCTCACATCTCTACTTCTTTGGCCCGTCAAAAGATGGGGGCTCCGTCGTCCCAGAATGTGCTGCATGGACCAAATATGTCCGCGCCGCTGTCCTTGTCACCGCCAGAGCCGCCGTCGCCGCCATGATCGTCCCTATCGTTCCCTTTATTGCCCTCGGATGAGGGTGGCGCGTGGTTCCCTGGTTTCACAAGCTCCCGGAGCAACTGCTCTATCGCGGCGGGAATATCCAAGTCGTCGGTGGCGGGGGAAAGATACCCGCATCGCTCATAAAGGATGATGTACGGTGTCTCGGACCGACCGAAGATTCCACTAGCGCCGGACAAAACGTTTTCGGCGGTTTCTGCATCCAAGAAAGAAACGATGGAATCATTTGCCAATACCCACGAGTCACGTGTGTCTTCGTCTTCCTCCGCCATCTCACCGTCCACTTGGGAGCGCAGCAAAGTAAAGTAATGTCCACTACGCGGACTGGATCCGCTATGCACCAACACCGCAATGAGTCGATAGTGAATGCGCTCATGCACCACCTCCCCGGCATCCCCGACATCCTCCTCGTCCTCCTCGCCCATCCGACCAATTCCCCGCATCGCAACCCGCACTGGGACGCTAATCACCTTATTAATGGTCACTTTATCCATCACCTTTTCGTGGTTCCCGGTTTCTCGAACATATTGGAAGCGGTTGAGCTGCAGCGTGAGATAAAAAGGCACCCCCTCGATATCTTTTTCCTGCATTTGCCCGTGTGCTCCATGCATACGATTCTCCGCCAAGGGCAACGCACGCCTACACGTGGTGTGCACAGCTGTTCGCAAAATAACAGGCTCACGCCTACGGCAGGACTCACAATATGTCATGTTTTCTCCGTGAAGAAGTTCACCGGAGTCTTGGTAGTTAAGGACGCTCTCCAAGAGTTCCTGCAGTGACGGCTGTTGTCTTTGTTCTTCTTCCTCTTCTCCTTGTGCCACGGGCACACCAGCCACATCAGCATCGTGGACATAATAATTTGTAATCGCGATATGTCCATCCTCCGAGCGCAGTACATGTGCATTCCCTTCTAGGTTTTCCCTTTCATGAGAAACGACTTCAGCAGGGCACGTCTGCGGCCTTTCTTCTTCCTCTTCTCTGCGCAGTGGCACGCTAATGTCCCAAAATGGACTCAGCTGCGTTCGTGTGTGGTGACATGTCATGCACTCAATGAGAGAGGCGGTGACGCCACCAAACCATCGGGCAACGACTGTGGACAACCCCACTCCAACCCCGCTGCCACTGCCATGGCCATGGCCATGGCCATTATGTTTCCTCTCTCGTCTCTTGTTGATTTCACTGTGGGTGTGGGCAATGGCGGAAAGTGAGCTCGCGGTGAATTTTCCACCACCTCCTCCCAACGATTCCTGTTCCTCCCTATTTCTCTTCATTTTGTGTTCGTACTCCTCACATTCTTGTGGCAGGCTGTATGCCCGTCTCCCAACAATATCATCACAATCATCATCATTGTCATCTTCCTCCTCGACGACTGGTGCATTCCACAAGGCTTCACTGGCGCTACTGTTATCCAGAAGCTCCATCAACACCTTCCCGTACTCTGAGGCATCATGCTGGAAGCCATCGTTAAACGGCTCCGGCAGGACATCCCTAAAGAATTTCGTGTCGACAACACCGCCGCTAAGACCGTGAGTCACCATCCAGTGCATCTGCAACATGAGAAGAACAAAACCCGTAGTGACCTGGGGGCCCGTGATTGGGCGGTGCCGGATGATACCCCGTCGTTCATGCTCATCCCCGGGTGCCGTCTCATTGAAGGAGTTCAGCAGCAGCGGCACAATTCTCGGGGTTGTCTCTCGAAGGAGATCCATCCGAAAATGCCGCGCGGCAAAAAACAGCTGAGTGAAGCTATTAACAAAGCACGTGTTCCCCACATTCAACAGCCCCACACATGCAAAAGGTAGCTCCCGAGTTTCTGTGGATTGTGGCAGGACTGTCTTTTTAGGCAGAGAACTGTCCTTCAGGATCGAGTTCATTCGCCAGAAAGCGTGCATCCTTCTGCGCTTCAACAACTCCGGGAACAACGTCTCCTCCTCTTCTTCTGGGTGCACGCCGACGCTTTCACCGCAGTCCGATGTTGTCAGTGCCTTCAGCCACGCGTCATTTGCCGGCTCCGACCCGTTCACCTCCTTGACGGTTCCCACCACGGACCTGTTTGTTTTTTCACAGAACATTGAACGTTCTCTCTCCATCTCCTCTTGGGATCGCATAGGGAAGTACAGCAATGCCGAGTGCACAAACTGGTCCAGTATGAACGGGGCCTCCACAATCTTCACGACGGAGTGGTACAACGCCGGGAAGTGGCGGCAATAATATGCCATTAACACAACCATGGCCCGCACCAAAGGAGGGAAACGGAAAAGCAGCTTTCGCGCTTCCTTCAGGTTCGTCTTATTGCTGAGGTTCCACTTTATACCAGCTGCTGAGTAGGCATTTATTGCCGACTTAAAGCCGGAGGCAAGTGTCGAGCTAATGGATGGGACCAATAATGACGATGATGATAATAATGAGGCCTCTTGTGAGGCCAAGCCAATTTCCACGTCAAAAAGCCGGTAAAGGACAGCCGTGGTGTACCGCAAGGGTTTATCCCGGTGCAAGGGGTCGGCCGTGGAAGTCTCCTCCCCTGCGTTCCCTCCTTCCACCACCTCCTCTTCGGCAAAAAACCTCAGAAGCGAAATCAGCGTGTAACCGTTCGCAAGCGCATGGAAGGACTCCATAAACTCGCCTGGGCATGGCTTTCGAGTTAAGATATTGTTCTCATCAGCATACCTCAAGGTAGGTCCGCCAATCGACATAATCATCTTCACATAAATCGCCTTTACTGCCTTGTGCAGGCAGTAAAGGGCGGTGTCCAGCGAAGGAAGCGGCGGGGCCACGTTGTTTTTATCGGCGGAGTCGACACGCGGGCCGTGACGCGACGAGGCAAAGTCCACACCGTAGACGATAAAACTCGACAACACAGACGCGTAAATCAAAGGGTCAGCGTATGTGGCGGTGTCACAAAGAAAGGCCTCCGCGATGGTGTCAGCATGCAAAGATGACCCTTTGGCTTCCTCACATGGCGAGGCTACGAATATGTCGCGCCGACAATTAGGGTACGCGGCCTGCAGTGCACTGTGCACAATTGTGTGGGCCAGTGCCCGCCGGTTTTCAAAAGAGCACTTGTCATCCATGAGCCCCTGACTGATACGTCGAACTCGCCGAGTGATGCAGTTAATGACGTCAATTTTTCTTCTCAGCAGAATTTTAGGGCGCGGCTCAAAACGAGCGGGAGGGTACGTTGCTGTCATAAGGCGTTCCACAGCAAAAAGTAAGTTTTGTTGTTGTCGCTGTTGTTGCTGCATAGAGGAAAAGCTACAGTGTGAGGAGGCATTTCCGCTTGTACACACCATTGTTTTCTCTTCTGTCTCCCTCCTCAATTTCCCTCGTCCCCCTTTCTGCCACCCCCCTCCTCCCCCTCCTTTACTATTATTATTATTGTGTGCGTGGGTGAGCTTTGTTTTTGTTTTGCTGCTTCCCCACCTCTTCCCTTTTTTTATTCCTATTATTTCCCTCCACTCCACGCCTATATGTATATAAAGGCCTTCCTTTGCGCCGTGCGTTGTGATTTCTTTGTGAGCCCAGCGTCGTTGCGAAGAGACACAAGTAAGGAGTGGAGGGGAGAAGGGAATAAATTACAAACAAACAAACACGTCAGAGCCCAGCGATATTCAACCCACGCATCCGCACGCTTCTCCCATCCCTTCACAACCCCCTCCTCCACACACACACACACACACACACACACACACACACTCTCTCTCTCTCTGTTCCTCTTGCTTTAACTGTTGTCCAGAACCACTCTTGCCTTGAACTCACGCCCGTTCAATTTAACCATCCCCGCAAGCTGCAGCTCCTTCAATGCCCGCACGAGCGCCTCGTCGGAGATCTGACAGATTCGCTGCAGCACCTCAAATGAAACGTACTTCTGTCTGGAGTTCCCCTGCCCCAACGCATGGGAGGTCAGGAGATGCAACAGACGCACAGAGTCCGGAATGGACGGGTTAAAAAAATTGTTCTCAGACAATGAAAACTCCCGCATCGCTATCGCACCGCTCTTGTCATGACAATTCTCGCCCTTTAACCAGCTCGGGCATCCATGGCCACCGTCTTGGCCCACTACACCCTTCAACTCCTCTAATGATTCCTCTGGCGGTAATACGGCAAGCAGGGCAGAGTGCATCAACTCGGCTCCAAGCGGCATCTTCGCCGCAGGCGCCCGCATCGCCGCGGGTATTGCAACAACTGCCCTTGTATCCTCCGCAACATTTTCCTGCGCATTCTGATACGACTCATTCTGAAGCGTACTGCTGGGTGTGTACACCGGCACGCATAATGCCAATGCCTCTTGGAAGATCATGTCTGTATCATTGCCCCACCTCCGCCACAGTTGCTCTAACACCGACACAACACCCGGTATACGCTGCAGACGCATCGACCGCTTCCACACAATATCCTCGTACAACACAGCGAATGCTACCGCCTCATTCAACAATTGTCCATCAGCCAACTGTCCCGCTGCGGCAAGAATGGCGTTGAGAATATCTACTGTGTCTACATGACGAGACATACCATCACCCCTGTTTCTCTTGTTTGCAGTGGTATTCGTCGTCGATGCCCCTGCGGAAAACAACCGCACGGAGAAGGGGGAAGAGGCACAACGATCACGCGCGGACGCGGAATGGGCAAAGGGGCATAGCAGCGCATGGAGACCTGTTACAACGTCACCAAGTTGACGCCGTGTCGCCCACAACGCCTGAAGCAGCCGGAGCGCCATCGGATGCAAGATGACAGGGAAACGACGAAGTGCCTCTCGCAAAAAACAACAGAGCGGTAGATTTTCCCGACGCACAAAGAAAAAACTTGACTCCCGCTGCCGTGTCTTATCTGCCAGTTCCACATGTGCTGCAGCGGCCTGCTGCTGCTGCTGCTGCGGTTGATCCTGCTGTTGTGAGTGCCGCTGTTTTTCTTCCGTCACCCTTTCTGTTTTCCCATCGGCGTGAGTGTTGGCCTCAGTGGTGCGTGGAGGGGCCGTCGGCACATTCATCCAAGTCTCAAGACGACGAATGAACGCCGTCGCCTCCGCATCGTCGTGACGGGTCACGCCGGTGATGGAACCATGAAAAAGCTGCACGCAGAACTCACGACAGAGTGGCTCCCGCAGGGCTTCTTCCAGGAGGGCGCCGCCGTACGCGAGGTCGTCTGGAAGCAGCAAGACGGAAAATTCGATACGAGCCCCGTGTGTGGCTTCTCTGGCGCGACACAACGCCGCAATGGCGCTGATTTCATGGAGAAACTTCATCAACGAATCACATGAACGTCGGGATCGATTTATGTCACCGCGACGTGCGGCGCTTTCATTCGCGCAGCAGCTCAAAATAAAAAGAGCCCGCCGCTTAATTGGCCCTGACTTGAATTTACCCTTCGATATGGATGATAGTGACGGCACATCCGCGGTTGAAGCGGTTTCCTCGCGCCGGTGACGTTTGGCAGCCATGACTGGGCTTCGGGAAGAAACTCCATCCTTCTCAGCATACACGGCGTCACACCAGGCCCGCACCGCCTCCATGCAACTCAGACGAACAATGGCGCTGCTGCTCCCACCTTTTTGATGCAAGGAATAGTCGGCCATACGACTCTCCGGCAGAAGATTAACGGCAAACACACGAAATTCGTTTCTCTCAAATTTGTGCACAAGAGCAGATCTCTCGCCGGATGATGACATGGAAAGAAGTGACAACTCCGCCGCAATTGCCAATGGAATGTAATTGTAGCACCCCGTCAGAGCATTTGGAATGCGCCGCGGAGTATCCTCACCATCCCTCACGGCAGCCGTCGTTGTGGTCGCCGTTTTGGCCGTTGTGGATAACAATGCCGACGAAGACGATGTTGTTTTTGATGGTGGCACCTCATCCCACGATTCCCCACGCAGAAAACGAATTAACGTCCCGAGTTCTTCCGGCATCAGTAACGCCGACACACACGCGGCGGCACCGTCAAGGATAGCAAGGGCATCGCTCATCCTTCGTTTTCTTATTTAACGGCTTTTCGTTGTTTAAAAATTTATTGATTGAAAGCAACAAAAACAACAACAACAAGAAGGAGACCACCACCCAGTCATTTTCACTTTTTGTAATCCGGTGCGAAAAGTAAACACATGTCCGTCGTTGGTCATAATAGGGGATAAATGAAGAATAAAAGAAATTCTGTGACATCAACTCCCCAGTTGAAGTACCGGACAGTGCGTCGCTAGACGGTTGAATATAAATTATATATATATATATATATGTATGGGGCATAGGGGAAAAAAGGAAAAATATACACAACAACAACAAAAACAGGTGAATGTACATTTACTTCTCTCTCCCCGTGTGTATTTGTTAAGGTTCAAATGCCCCGTCACGCCGAAAAATGACAAAACTGGGAGCAGCGGGGCACGCCGCTAGAAACACTCATTGCACAGTCTACATGCACCCAACTACCGCAGGGACACCTGACAAGTCCTCCTGCCTCATCCTGCAACTCACACACGATGCAGCAGTTAGAGACATTGCTGGCGTCTTTCACAGCCGCGGTGGCAACCTCCGTCGACATCGTCTTCATTGCGTTAAGTGTAGGGAAAAGTACATCCTTCACCTCGCCGAATAACTCCATGTATGAATCCCGTGCAGCCGCCTCTTCTGCAGCATCTTTTCCTCTTGTGGCGGCCGAAGAGTCGTCCATCTGCAGAAGAGACATGACGCGGGCCCGTGTTGCCCGCTCCTGCTCCTTTTTTTTCTCGTAGTACTTCTCGTCGCTATAGAAATCCTCACTGTCGTCGTCATCGTCGTCGTCTTTATCGCCATCATCATCATCATCATCAGTGCCGCTGCTGTTATCAAACTTGGGATCCCCCTTCTCTTTGTTGCCGCCAGGATTTAATTTCTGCGCCCCCCCTTCCACCGCAAGTGACTTCCCTCTTCGCAAAATCGGCGGCTGTGGAAGTGGCGGAACATCATCCACCTTGCCGACCCCAACATGGTTCGTCGCCACACAAGTGTCCAACAAATTGTGCCGTAGACTCCACCAAAACGGCCGCGCCCTCCATGCCTCCTCAACTTCCTGTGATTTACAAAAAAGATGCGAAAGCCACGTGATACATGGGGCGTCCAAGCATTGCTGCAGGCCACATCCCCTCTGCAATCTCTGCTGCTTGCTTTTATCCCTCACATCCAGCACCAGCTGCCCCAACACCTCGTCTGAAAGAATCAACAGACGTCGCGTGGTGTCGTACTGTCCCACCGCCCGCTTGTCTTCCTCGCCTGCCCCTCGCGACTGCGGCTCATGGCTGCTAAACATGAGTCGTCGTGTGTAGTTTTCACTGTGAAGCCGTTCCGCATACATGACGGCCAACTCCAGCAGCATTTTTACCGCCTGACTTGAAGAAACGCCCCCATCACTACCGTCTGTTGTCGCCATCCCCACGTCGGTGGGGCTCCTCAATTCCTCTAGAAGTGGTGTGACAGTCCTTTTGCCCTTCGCCTCGTCCTGCAGCACCCGCAGAATGCCCAAGAGCCGCATCGCACGCGTTACTTCAAACCGTCGTTTAATCCACCGCTGAATCGTCACGGCTGCCACGTATCGCGTAGCCGATTCATTTCCCATCACAACACACACACACACACACACACACACACAAACTTCTCTCTTCTCTTTTCCCCTCTATGTAAATGACTGTTGTATCAAAAGCCCCACAGCCTCTGGCTCCGTACATTACCGTGAAAACAACAATGAGAAAAAAATAAAACAAGAAAAAACACGTGGATAGTGGTAGCGGATCGACCTGAATGCAATTTCACAACAGAGAGGCGCATACAGACGTGAGAGGCTGCGTCTTCCATCACATCGTCAACGTTTTTTTTTTTTCCACTAATAGCACTGCTTCCGCGACATTTTCCCATTCTTCCACTTAACTCACATCATTGCGCGCCACGCCACGCCACGCCTTCCCTCCCCTACCCACCCACAGCAGTGTCATTACGTACTGGCATGGAGACGGTGTTTGCTTAACAGTTCAACACGCTGCCACACGGCACACCGCTCGCTGATGCCAAATGGGTAATACAACACTCGACACCACATCGGAGTCCTGTCCACATCCAGCAGCCGGTACTGCTGCGGCTTCGCTGTAGCTACCAGAGGGTACGCAAAGACGTCCTGCGGATAGTTCTTCAAGTCGCTTGAATCATATGCACTATGGCTGTCAAGAATAGCGTCGCACTCCAGGGCAGCATCTGACACGTACTGTTCGGCAATCTCTTGATTCAGATCGTTTACACCGGCAGCACCGCAGCGACATGTGGCGTAGGAATCATCTCGCTTGAATGGCAGCGGCAATGCCCCTGAGAAGCCATCAGTCTTTATGAATGCCACCCGTGCCCTCTGCGTGTCCAAAAAGAAGGACGAGGGGAAGCGGTACCACTCACGGCCAACACAAACCGTGTAAAGATCGTTTGATGATGTCATGTTATTTCTCCCTTTTTTCGACGCAATTTTATGTGCCGCTGCATGCTGGAGCGCATCATATGTATCATACATCAATCGCTGCGGCCCGGCGTAGAAGTGGTAGACGGCCATGCTGCGCGAGAGTGACAGGAGACCACAGAGTAGCAGTAGAATGCACCCCGTGACGGGTAGGAGCCGCGAATTTCGTGGCAACGTTCCACGAGCAAAACCGTGTCGTCCCATTTTCTCATTCGAGTCCTGGTCCGTCGTTTTTGCAGATGGTGCTGCTGCTGCTCTGGTGCCGGTCGTCATGCCGGAAGCTGAGCCAGAGGGAAAGAATACGAGTGTGAAGCTCAGCGCGGCGGCAAGAAGAAGAAAAGGGTACACCGGCGCCATGAAGCGCTCCTCTTTATGAGCCACCATAAGCCAAAAAGTAAACCACAAAAAAAAGGGAGAGATGTACAACAGCATGCGACTCCTCGAAGGGGGCAGTGACGATGACGAAGACGATAGTACGGATGGCACCGACGCCATGTATGCCTTTACATCCACCAATGAAAAAGAAGTGAAAGGAAGAGGAAGTGCAGCGCGTTTCCGCTGCATTGTGGCTGCCTCTTCGCGGGCACCCCCCTTCTTGTAATTCCGGTTGCTATAATCATGTTTCGTACCGTCACGGGTATGCTTAAGGCTGCCGTTTAGTGTCGGTCTAAGGATGATTACACACGGTGCCACAACACCTGCAAGGAACAAGACGTGTGCATTGAGTAAAAGGTTCTTGATGAAGTAATACCAAGGCTCCACACCATATAATTCTGCTCCCCCCTTCAAGTTGTACCGCACAAGGTTCCATGCGCTCCACGTGACGCGGCAGTAGTACAATGTGTCGAGACCCACAGCCAGCGGTATAATGAGAGCAATTGCGAGGAGCAGCGATACTACCGATGCCTTTGGGTGGCGCACAATCAAATCCAAAGCCATTGGAAGAACCGCAAAGCCCGCAAATGGCCAAACTACAGCGCATGCAAAAACGGCAAAGAAAACGGTTCCAAAGACGCTGAAGTGATGCGATTCGCTTCGTCGCCGTCTTGACGTCCCTGTGTGACGGCCAGTAGAGGCCGCAGCGGGAGTGTTTTTGTCCCGGGCGCTCCTGTGACCGCTGCGCAGCCAAAAACCCAGTGCCATGAAGTAATTAATCATCGTAAAACTTGTCGGCAGCGCGCTCACGGCGGCATGGAGAATGGGGTAGTTGAACAGCAGCAACGCCAGTGTCACCGCCGCGGCCCTCCCAGAGATCGCCTTCCGCACGCTGTAGACAAGAAACAATTCACTGAGGCACGCCATGCGGCCGTAACAAATGCGGTTAAAAAAATACACATCGACACTTCGCGGGCTCGGCATCCCTGACATGAGAAGGGCAGGGGAGGCGTAGATCCATGTAAAGAGCCAAGAGCGCAGTGCGTAAAGGGGGCAGTTTTCCCATGTCTGCAGTCCGCTGCCGTAGAGCAATTGGTGAATGGGCTCAACGAAATTAAACGTCTCATCGCAGTCCGCCACCGGAAGAAAAACGGCGGCAAAATAATGCCCCGCTGACAACAGGGAAAATGCCGCCAACACCCGCAGCACCCCAACAAATCCCATCATGTAACGTCCCCGGCGTATGCGGAAGGGACCACACGAAGAAAAAAAAAAAAAAAAGAAAATACCGAAAATAAATGACTCGTGCAATAAAACAACTTTCACGCCCCCCCCCCCCCCCCAACCCCCCCAACATCCGTAAAAAAGAAGAGGGAAAAAAAAAAAGAAAAAAAAAGGCAACTGACACGCTACCAAGAGATAATCGTTGAGTGTTTCCAAAATGCAAGGAAGAAAATACACACGGGAAGAAAAAGAGAGAAAATAAAAAAGCGAGAAGAACTCTTAAATTATCATCTCACACTCTTTACTTGTCAATCTTTGACTTCGCAGACTCACCCGCACAATAAACAAAAAAAAAAAAAAAGAAATCCCTTTTATTCATCCTTCTATCATCAACGCAAAACACAATGTCTATGAAAAAATTATCAACAAGGAAGATAACACACACACACACAAATACGAGTATTCAGACATCCATTTAAATATAAATAAATAAATAAATTTGTGTGGGCTTCATGTGTGGGTTTCATTCCAAACACCATCGGTTACTTTTGTACTTTTTTTCTCCCCTTCTTTTTCCCTCCTCCTCTTATTTCCCACACAATCTCGTCTTTCATATTTCATCCTTCTCCGTGTGGTCGTTTCGTCCATCAAATTTGTCCTGAAAACCAAAAACAAAGAAATATTCACAAGTAGGAAAGAAGAAATAAATAAATAAATAAATAAATAGAAAAAAAAAAGGAAATAAAGAGGTTAATATCCGATATCACAGCACTGCATGTCCAAAGGTGACCTTTTTTTTTTTTTTTTGCCTTGTGGCCCCTCCTAGGTATCGGGGATCTTACGGCGCCTATCAATTCGCTCCTGCTTTGTGAGCCGTAGTGGCAAGCATGAGGTAAAGGGACAGGGACGCCGTCTCGTTTCATTCCAGTTGAGTGGCGCCCTCAACTCGCTCATAAGCCACTCCCGACCAGACGTGCCATGCGTGAAAGGATTCCGCTTCGGCATGGATGACTGAATGGATTTGTAAAAAACAGTCAACTTTTGAAGTGAAAAATCTTTCATTCGCTGCTGCCGCTGCAATGGCGTAGTTTTCTCCTTCTCTTCCTCGTCTTCTTTGAATACCCTTATTTTATCCGCCACTCCGTGCGTTTCTCCCGTCGACTGCGTCAAGAGTGAGAAGAGCAGGTTCCCTGCCAACGCACATGGCGCCGCAAGGGTTTCATGACTAAGTGCTACACAGACTCGGTTGATATCGCCGACGGAGAGACGGATGGACGGAGCCACTAACTCCGCATGGGAGAATTCATGGATGAGAACAAGCGCTCCAGTGGACCCTGCTTCAATGATCCGTGGCTGAACCCACAAGTATGAGATTTTACTAGAAGAATGCAGAGAAGCAGATGCTATGACCCTTGTGAGCATCATAGTCACGTGTAGAGGGTCTTTTTCCAGCCACCGGGGATTTTTTTGCCGGGCCCATGCCGTGGGGATTACCGATCTCTTTTGCAGAGAGGCGCACTCAATATGGGGTGGAGAAATTATCATTTCCCGAAGCTTGAGCTGCCCTGCATCTTTGCCCTGACCCCCGAATATGCTGTGAGGGACAACAACATCCAGCATGCCACGGTTCTCAGCATCACTTTCTACGTCGTCAACAGCAAAAGCATGGCGATGAAGAACAGCATCGTCCATTCTATCCTCTTCGTTCTCTGTGCCATGAACTCCCTCGAAACTGGTGGCATTTTCAGTCTCAGATGTATCCTCCTGTCTTGTTCGCTGCTCACTCATTTCAACATCTCGAAGACACCGCATTCTTCGCTGAATTTCACGCACGTTATTTTGAGCGACCTCGTCGAGGTAGTTCTGTTGCAGCTCGATGCGATAGATTCGTTTTGGAAGTACTTGCGGCAGCTCCGTCATCCGATTCCGTGCGACGCGGAGCTCCACGACGTCGGGAAAAAGCATATCCAAGTCATTCAGCTCGCTTAGATGGTTGTAGGAAAGGGTAAGTGTGTGCAGAGACCGCATGGGTTTCTCTAAAACATTCACAGAGGGAGGAAGAAGCGTACGTATCTGGTTAAAGCTCACGTCAAGTACTCGTAATGCAGCAGACTTTTGCAGAATGGAATTGGGAGTAAAGAGTGGGCCAAGATCCTCAATTTTGTTATGCGAGGCTTGCAGAACGCGGAGGGATGTCATGTTCTCAACGCCGGCAAGACTAGTGATCTCGTTGCGACTCACATCCAACAGCACGACCCTTGTAAATTCCGCAAGTGCGGTAGGCTGAGCGGATAGCGACGGTTCCGGTACCGCAACAAGGGACGTTATGCTATTGCGAGAAAGTTGCAGCGTGCGCACTTGACTCGCCACTCTGGCTCCACTGCCGTGCCTCGTTTTGGCGGCCGTATTGTGCAGACACGGCAGTACGGTGAGCTGTCGAGAAGAAAGATCCAGCAGCTCGTTGCGGCCCAACACGGGCAGAACGACGCATGAGTCATCTTTCAAATTTGGCGGTTTAACGACGTTGAAGGCGCAAGTTTTCGGAGGCACCGTTCGATTGCTGTGTGATGAAGAGGATGGGAACGAGTTTTTCTTCCCGGCGTTGACACCGTCCACGACATGACCTCGCGCCACGGGCAGATGCTCGATCTCACCATTGTTTTTCTCTTCCATCAGCCACGGCGACCCCTCAATGTGCAGGCTGGAGTACAATTCATCCGCTCCCCGTGCCCACGGGCCACTTTGCGTCTGGGCGACAGTTTTATCGCACACTGCCGTGGGCACATCCACAACCACCATGGCCACGGGCATTCCTCACCCGGTTGTGAGCACGAGCGGAAGCACAATTCGCTCGTGAATTTCTCTTCTTTTTTTTTTTCTTCTTTCGTCCTTTGGTTTGTTTTTGATCCCGTTTGAATTATTTATTTTTGCTGCTCTCCTTTGCTTGCTGCGGAACGACCCCTCCAGAAGGAATACTGGATACACCCACAGATGCAGGCAAAAAGGTGCGCACTCACAGTGTGACAACAAGGCCTGCAGTCGGCCCATAAAAATGCAGAGAGAGAGAGAGAAAAAAAGAGAAAGAACAGGCAACAAATATTTAAAAAAGCAAAAACAACAAAGGGCACGCTGCCAAAAAAAAAAAAAAAAGTTTATTCCGGCATTGAACTTCCCTTTTTTTTTTCTTTTTTTTTGATTTTTTCTTCGCAAACCTTCATTTCGCTTTCCCTAGCAAGCCGCACGAGCACGCTCCACGTGTATGATACCTGCCATCCATAGAAGCGATATCGCCGTGACAGATGCCTGAAGGGGCAAAGAGATCACACAACCACGCCGTGGCACCTCCTTTTGTGTCGCTTTGTTGTACGCCCCCGAATTGAACAGTGAAAACATGGCAAACAGCAGGTGCAACAGAAAGGGTGCAAGGAGTGATGCCACAGCCAGCAGTGGTTTTGAGCGAAGCAACGTGGGCTCGGGAAGTTGCGTCTCCTCTTGCTCCCGCGGCGGCAGGAGGGGCTGAGAGCCGCCGTCATCTTTCATCGCTACTTGGGGTGTTTTTATGAAACACACAAATTCCCCTCTCTCCTCCCCATCACCATCCCCCTCCTTCTCCCGCTGCTCCGTGTTATCAACCCACTCGCGGGGACACACCCTATGCGGTTCCTCATCCTCACTGATATGAGTTACAAGCGGTGGTGCCTCTTCCCTCTTCTTCTGCTGGGGCGGTGTTTCGACGTTTATTTGCGTGTCCGGAGAGCCACGCAACGGCTCCAGCTCGTCCACGGCAGGTAATTTTTTCTTGGACGTGTTGACGCGATAAAAAAGGAGAAGCCGGCGCCATGCTTTTTGTGGCTGCTGCAGCTTCTGCAACGCGGTCACTGCCTGCCCAGTCATCACCGCCCACGCCACCTGGCAAAGGAGCAGCAAAAACGCCTGGAGTGTGCTGTGCATCAGCAGTGGGAGGCGTGGACAGACGTTCAGGTCGTACGCCGTCGTCCCCCTCGTGTAGAACGTCATGCGTTGCGTGGAGTCAAAAAGTGTACCCGCCCCCCGCAGAACGGAGATCGTCCCAAACCCGCAACCAACCGCAGCAGACACAAGCGCAAAGCGCATGGGACTCGCGACAAGCAGCTGTCCGTAGCTACGTGTGACCGACTCCACGCGGTATAAAGTGAAAAGCAGCCACACGCGTAGGAATTCCGTGACAGTGACGTCTACGAGGATAAGGAGTGGGAGCAACGCCACTGGTTTCATCACAAGATACAAAACCCCACTGATGAAAGGACCAACAAGCGCAACCAAGACGACACTAAGCGCCAACAGCAGTAGCTGTGGATGCGTTGCAATCGCGGCAAAAGAAGCAATTAGGAGCGGTGCATACAAAAGCAAGCCGCACCCAAGCATGCCGGTCAAATGCATATCCCAAAGATTCACTTTCCTGCTGTTTGTCCCCCTTTCTCTCACTCACCCCCCTCCCTTCCCCCTTTTTTTTTTCTCGCTTATTTCAATTCCTTCTCTTCCTTCTGGAGACCCACGCGTTCAGTTGAGCGAATACTGCGGGTGGTAGGGAGACGGAGAGAAAGCAAAACAAGAAAACAAAACAAAAGCATACAGTGAAGTAGACACCACCCCAACGGCAACAAAGGGCAAATTTAACCGCTCATAATTTTATTCGTACCAACCCAACCCAGTGAAGAGCATACACAAACTCAACCTCCTTTCCCTTCTCACTTTTACTCTCTCTCTATACGTATACTTTTTTTTTTTTTAAATTTATACATCAAAGCAATCACAATTCCTGCGTTGTTTTATCAGAATTCCTTCTCACTTTCCTCGTCCTCGGATGTGGTATCGTCAAAGCTCGTGAAGCGTTTTGGCTCAGAGGCCGGCATCACCGGTGTTGTTTCTTTTCTCCTGGATTCACCGGAGGAAGTGGAGGCGGACGTCGCGACACCGTGGCGTGGCACAAAAGCCGCATCTTCTGACGGCTCCTTGACGAACGCTAAAAAAGTTTTTCGCGGCGTGGAATAAATTCCTTCGCCATGTGACGACGGCGCAACACCTGTGTGTGGGGCGGCCGCAGACGCTGTCTCTTCCTTCTGCCCCTCTTTAGCTGACGACACTTTTTCGCTTTCAGTGCTTGCATCCCAGTCGTCGTACCATGCAGTAGTCGGCTTCGGTGGTGGTGCTTCCTTCTCGGCGGTTCCCGCCGTATCCTTTACGGGAGTGACATTAGCTGCACCCGCACTGCTATCCGCCGCAATAACGCTTTCAGCGCTGCTTGAGTGCTGCCGAAACGACAATGCACGACTCCGACGCGACTGTTCCTCTGGTAGGAATATACTGCTAGACAACTCGTGGGGCGGTTGCATCGGTGCTGCCTTCATTTCCGCATCAAAGACGGAAGCAGTCGCCTCAGTGTTGTCATCATCAACACCAAAGGTGCGAGCAGCATCGACGAGAGGCGTTGCGGCTGGGGGACGAAGGTCGGAGGCAGCAAAGACAGACTCTCGGGGTGCCACACCAACCTTCTCTGGTGGGGTTGCACCACCAGAGTCGCTGTCTGTCGTATCATTCCACGTCATTGCCTGCTGCCGGTTAGTCGTATCGACAGCTGAGCTTTTCAATCGGCGTGTCTCCATTGGTGGTGGTGTTGCTGTTGTCATGTTGACCACACTCGAGCTGACTCTCCGCGAGACATCGGCCCCTTTCTGCGAAAATGGAATCGCCTGCGCGTCGGGTGATTCATTCTGATCATCCTTTACCACCACTTCGGTAATTGACGTTTGCGGATGCGTGCGGGGTGTCTTCATGGCTGTTCCACCGGCGGACGCCAACGTACTCGGCATGCGTGGGTTCGACGAACGCAACTCACTGAAGTTGTCTAACGGGGCCTGAAAATTTCCCTGCTTTCTCTCGTCTCCCGTTCCTGTTACAACCCTAGTGGTCGTTCCAGCCTCCTTTGCATGAAGAGAGATTACGGCGGCAACAGAGCGATTTGCCGCGCAAGTCTCCTCACGGCATTCACTCACCGACGTCTGAAGGTCGTGCAAGGCCTGACGCTGGCGCCTCTGTTCGCCCTCCAGCTGTCGCAACTTCACCTGAAATTCCTCACATGTCTGCTGCTGCAATGTAGTGTCGGCATTAGTGGCGTGTAGCCGCGACTCGAGTGACGCCACCGTCTTGCGAAGGACGTTCCAGTCACGAAGAAGGACATACTCCTTTTGCCCCTGCTCAACGGTATCGCTCATCGCGGCAAGGGCGGCCTCGAGAGACTCAATCTTCGACTTGCACGTCCGTAACTCTCGCGAAAGCATCTGTGAAGTCTCTTCGCCCCCACGCAACGTGCGCATCTTCGCCACCGCCTCTTCAAGCGGCGCAACCTTCGACTCCATCGACGTCTCCAACGCTGACACACGATCCTCAAAAGTGGACTGCAGACGCCGCACATCCCTCTGCATCTTCGTTTCCAGTCGTCCAGCCACTTGTTCCGTGGCCGTCGTGTTCTGCGTCTCTGCTGCCAAAATGGCGGCATCCATGCGAGCGTCACGCTGCTCTTGCCACTCAATTGCCTGCTGAAGGCGACTTGACAACGTGGCGACGTCCTTCGCGTGATCCTCAGTCGCAGCACGAAGTGTTGTGGAGTCAGCTGCAAAGCGTCCGGCCCGTGACTCAAGTTCACATAAACGACGATCCATGCGATCCACTTCTGCCCGCGCAGCAGCACTACTCGTCTCGCTGCGCAGCGCCATGTCATTTGCGTGCTCCAGCCGCGCGTTGACTGACTGCAAACCACCAAGAGTGTCGCGTCGTGATTGCTCAAGGCGCTCGCCAACCCCCTTTACTGCCGCTTCGACATTTTGTACTCTCTGACCAAATTGTGCCGCTAAATCATCAAGGCGCGTGGTGGAAGCAAAAAGAGATTCTCGTGTTTCTTCAAGAGCCGCAAGGCGCTGCTGCAGGTGCGGCACTCGTCCCTCCGCCGTCTCGACTGTGGCACGAAGACGATGTACCAGCTGCTCGCAGCCTTCGATGCGATCCGTGAATCCGTCAACCACACGGCGAGTTTGTTCCGCCAGCTGTTCGTCACGCTCGCAAACCTGCCGCAGCGCATCAACGCCACTCTCGGCGCGTAGTGCGGCGCGTCGAACGATTTCAATTTCGACACGCAGTTTTTCTGCTGTCGCGGCGGCGCCAAGATGAGTTTCAATTTGTGTCAAGCGTGCATCGCGGTCCTGCACGGTGTCCTCCACACGCTGTGCCCGCTCCATCGCTCTCTGCGCCTGTGCCTGCGCCCGCTCTGCCGTGTCACGGGCAACGCCAAGATTAGCGTCCACGCGACTCATGGCCTCTTGCGCGGTATCGGCCTTTCGCTCCGCCCGGTCTACACGAGAGGCGGTGACAGCACTGCTGGACTCCAATGCACCCACACGCTCCTGAAGGGATGCCGTCTGTAGCCGCACTTCGGCGTGACATGTGGTGGTGCAGTCGTGAATCTTGGCGTCCATGCCGGCAACAAGCTCCTCGTGACGCGCTATTTTTTGTGCAAAAGTATCAATCGGCTCGCGTAACGTGCGCTCAAGCGCTGTCGCGTGAGTTCGCCACGCCTCGTCCATTAATTCCCTCACATGAAGGCCTATCGCAGCAATATCGGCCTTCAACTGCTGCTTTAATTTCTCACGCTCCCGTTGGTCGTCGCGGCGCATGTCCAAGTATCGCAGGAGCTCCACGTCCAGCCGCTGGGCAAGGGATGCCCGCTCCTTCTCAAGTTGTTGTGTTGACTCAACACGTATCAGACCGCACTCCGCCACGGCTGCTTCCAGCCTCTCACGAAGGCTGTCTATTTGTTCTTGAATGTACTCCTGCCGCTCAAATTGCGAGCGATCCCGAACTTTGGAGGAGCGGAGAACCTCGTCCAGTTGTCGTTGCATCACTGCCCGGGCGGTCGCCTCCTCCTTGTACCGCTGCAGCACGTTCACTTCCAGCTCCGCGATTGCACGACGAGACTGGTGGTCCGCAGCATGGAGCTCCACCATCATCTCCTCCTTCCAGCGCCTGCCCAAGGAGACAATTGTCTGCGAGCGTGACTCCCGTTCCGCCATCAGCTCGTTGCGGAGGTTACTGATCTCCGTCATCGCCACGCGGAGTTGCCGCTGCAGCTCCAACACAGACGAGTCCCCATGCCTACAATTCAGAGCACCATCGCGCCTGTCCCATGATTCTTGCTGCTCTACAGGCAGCGATAGAGCGGCCGGCCGCCTACCGGAAAGGGCGTCCTCTGCCGCGCGCAACAGTTTTGTGGCCTCACGTGAGAAGTGGGACATTTTCTAATGTCAATTGCAATGTATATACGATGGAATAATGCACTGTATATGAATGTATATATTCCTTGCGAGTTGTGGGGGCTCACTTTCTCTCTATTACCGTGTGTGTGTGTGTGTATGTGTCCTCTCAGTCCGCCACGCTGCGTCTCCCGCTCTACCTGTTCCAAGACGGAGGAGAACAGAAGCAAAGGAAAAGGGAAAGAAGAAGGGGTGGCGGAGAAAGAGAGGCGTACGTCACATCAACAATAAGCAATGAAGTGCCGCATCTTCTACCGCCGCACATCCGTCTTGTCAAAGTGGTGGTATGCCGGCCGGGAGAAAGAAACAAATAAAAAAGGGGAGAAAGAGACCGACTGAAACACACAAACACACACACACAGGGGAGGAGGGCGTAAATATTTAAATAAGAAGGAAAAAAGAATATATATATATAAAGAGGTAGAAATAAAGTGTGATGCGTACACCACTGAGGAAAAAAAAATAAAAATAAAAATAACAAAATAACGGCAAATATAAAAACAACAACAAACAAACAAATAGAAAAATGAATACAAAAAGGAAAAGCTAACAACAAAAACTCAGATTCTCCCGTCATTATTGCGGCAGTGCGGTAATCGATAGGAAATAAAATACAATGCTGGTGACAGCTGCCTACAAAAAGTTACCGTCCCGTGAGCGGTTTGCCTCTCCATTTGTGGAGGCAACACGCAGTCGCTCTGCGACCATCCGCAGCGCCGCTGAAACTTTCATTAGGCGGATCAGGCGAAGACGTGTGTCTTGCTCCCATGCACGCAGCGCCTCTTCCGTCCGCAAAGCTGCCGACTCACGCCGCTTTAATCCTTCCTGAAATTTTTTCATGCTCGCTGTCGTTTGTTCAAGAGCCACTGTGTTGCGTCGCATGAGTTCGCGTCGTCTCAGCAGCTCCTCGTGCATAATCTGAACGCCAGCGTCATACCGCCGGAGAAGCGCATCGCGCAGGAGATCAAAGCAGCCGTCCATGTACAAACCGGCGTGATTCATCATGTGTGCGGCCAGCCCCAGGACGGAGGCGCTGCTTTCGCCCTGAGCAGCGCAAGGCCCTTCGTTTTTTTCTCTCTCCCTCTGCTGCTGGAGCTGCTGAGAGAGCTGCTTTTCGATGCTGCTCGCCCGTACAAGTGCCCTCTCAGTCCGTGACAACTTCTCCCGAAGCTGCTGCAGTTCCTCCGTATTTGGTGCCACCGTACGTGCGGGAGAAACAGCCTCCAGGGCGTGTTCGTTTGCCCGATCTTCAAGGACCTTTGAGAGGCGCTGAGCGCTGCCTAACTCACAGCGCAGCTCCGTAATTTGCTCGTCTTCCCCTGCCAAAGCGGATATCTTCGCCAACGCCTCTTTTTTCGTCGGTGAAGATGGCAAAGGGGACGCCGCGAGGCTACAGGCCGTACACGCAAATAACGTGGCGGCCGAAAGGGAAGCGCTGTGTTGACTAAGCAGGACTTCCGCCACGCACCGCCATTCAGAGAGCGCGGTGCATAAGACAGTAGCGACACGATCTTTCGTATCGTCCTGCCGTGACAATACCAGTGATGATGACAACGGTGTTGGTGGTGGTGGTGGCTTTAGCTGCTGCCATTTAACATGAAAGAAGTGCATGGTCTCTAGCCTTCCACGCAACTCAGCGCAAGTCAGTTCGTATCTTTGCTGCTCCTCCTGCATTTTTAACGTGAGAACCCCCGTGGCTCGCTGAGACGCCTCAAACTGCCTCTTCTCCATTTCAACTTCACGCCGTGCGACACCCAACGCGCTTTGCAGCATGAAATTATCATCATCAAACCTTTTCTGTACTTTTCTCAACAATTCCTCTAATTGTGCAATCTTTGCCTTGTACGCCTCTTCTTGCTGCGTCATATATGTGGCGTGCTCGCATTTCACCGCCTGCACCGTGTTCTCTGGCCCTAACACCGTCGACAACTCCACACTGGTGTTCCTGTGCTCCCGCAGCCTCACGGTTTCTAACATTTCATCGGCATTCCTCCGCCACTTTGCAAACTGCTCACCCAAGGTAGTCAGCTCCTCCATATACACATTCTGCAAGCGCCTACACTCTTCCTCTACGATAGCCTGAAACTCCTGCGCCATTCGAGCCCGAAGTTTCTTTTCTTCTTCCTGCAGCTGCATCCGCTGTGCCGCAATACGCGTGGCATCACTCGTGACCTTCTTCATGGATGCTTGCAGAGCCTCCTCTCGCCTGGACAACATGCGTTGTTTTGCCCGCAACTCCTCCGCTAGCGCTGCCCCTTCCACCGTCGCAGTACGACTGCTACTATTCGCGCTCGCAGCAGTTGGACCGTCAAAAACATCATCACCATCATCGGCTGGAGCGTTTACTTCTCCAGTGAACGGTCTCACAGGTGTCCGCTGTGATGAACTCTTTCTCCGCGCCCTCGCCGAAGAATGGGACAATAATGCCTCACCCATGTCGCTCTTCACCATTGGCTGCTCAACCTCCGCCCTGAGCACCTCTGTCAGACTAATCAACTGCTGGTTCTCTTCACGCAGTGATGACGAAATCGCTAAAAGCCGCTCCAACTCTTCTCGCTGTTCATTCAGCATATTTAGCAGTTGTCCCTGCTGATGATATGCGTTCTCCGCATCTGCCTGTAATTTGGCGACGCAGATGGCGCAGGCGTGGCAGAGCGGCACTGGGGCAGAGCCGGGGTGTCCAGGCAATGTTAACTGACGCTTGAGGCAATGTGTACACATAACCATGCCACATGCATGGCAGTTTTCTGGTTTATTGAAGAGACTGAAACTACGCCCGCAACCTGGATTTTGACAGGCGCTCACTTCACTCTTTTTGTACCACTCATTCTGTGGGAGAATTCGAAGCGAATGATTCATAGACCTTTGCCGTGTAAGCACGTGTATATAATATATATGTATGTATGTGTGTACAATATGTATGTGTTGACGTCTGGCAAATAAATCCACAACTTCCACGTTCCTCTTGCACGTAAAAGAAGCCTACTCCCTCCCTCCCTGCCCCTTCTTCCCAAAGAAACAACAAAAATCCACAGAAAAGAAAAAAGCGTTTCCTTTTTGTTTTTGTCTGCTTGACAGAATTCACAGGTAAGAAACACACATACACACAAATTAAAAGACAAGAGAAACGCTGGAAATGTTTTATTCAATAATGCCGCCATCGACTTATTCATTATAACCCGCACTGTCCTCCCCTTCGCTCCAAATGCGACAAAACAAAGTAGAACGCAGTGCAACAAGTCATTTCCCCTCCCCCCTTCCCACTCCCCCTTTTTGTACTCAAATGCCGTTACAATGACTCTTCTACAAATTCAAGCGCGTCGCTGTTGTCAGGTGCCGTGCCTGAAGAGAGGACGCAGTTACAATAAGGTTTCAACGGTGCTTTTAAGCTGTTGAATCTCATTTCCAATCGACTGCACTCCGTTCTTACCACACGCTTTCGCCTTCTTCACGGTCAATTCTCATCACTTCGATGACTCCTCCCGTGCAGGAATTTATGTGTCACGCCGCATGGCCCACTTCTCGCGGCGCTGCGGTTCCGGCCTCCCAATTCCGTAGCACGTGCGTTCCCCGTTTCCCTCCATGCGGGCCATTCTCGCATCAGATCGCCAAATTTTCCCTCACGGCGGCACAGTCTCTTTACAAGAGCGTAACACTTCCAGTTCAGTGACTCTTCAAGTCGCTACCCTGCAGGACTGCAAGAGTACACAGATGCTTCTCGCCGTGATGGTGACAGCCCCCGTTGCCATTTGTCAATAATGCAGGTGGACAGGGCGGAGGGCGGGATGGCGACGAGAAAGCAATAGGCAGCGCAAGACCTTCAACGAATAGCCAGGTGGACGCTGTGGGCCTGTCAACAAAAGTTGTTGCAGCCAGTCGTCACCTGCGGTCAAGCGCTGCTGCATGATTCGTCCAAGCACCCATAAGAAACTACACCCAATAAAGTGTAAAAAAACAGACAAAACCCCAACAACAAATCCATGTGTTTGTATGTGTGTCTGCATTTATGTAAAATGCGGAGCTATGGCAGCAGCAACAGCAAAGGGAGCAGAGAAGATAGAGAGAGAGGGAGGGAGAGAGGGGCTATCGTGTTGTTTTCTCTCTTTTTTCCCCTCTCCCCCGCCAAAAAAAAGGCATCATTTTCTCCCCTTCCACTTCTTCTTCCCTTCATTCGCCGCACACACGCACACACGCATTTGTAACCATGCCGGCTATGTATACATATATATGTATGTGTATGCCCATCCAACGCATTCCGCATCACAAACAAAGCAAACACCCCCCCCACACCCCCTTTTTTTTTCTTTCACGCTCTGGTACCAGCAAGCCGCAACAAAAAGGAATAAAGGGATAAAGGAGAGATAGGAAAAAAAAAAAAAACCGAAAACAACAACAACGAGAAAAACAACAACAACAAAAGGCAAATACATGAAAGCGCAACAAAATAAAGAACTGTAACACTACGTACCACGCGGTGGAGAAGGTGCTCTGTTCACGGTGAATGGTATCACGCTGACCGCAGAACTGAGATAAATGTGGGGATCACAAACATCGTAGAGGGATGAAAGGTAGACAGAAAAGAGGAGAAAAGACCAAGAAAGAGGGAGAGAGGGAGAGAGAAAACAAAAAACAAATTAAAAGCATGTATTCTACTACGATGTGTAGGCCTCAAAGCTCTCTCGAACGGGGATAGAGCAGTTCGGTACAGGGCATTTGCCGTCTATATGCTCTGCGCAGTCCTTGCACAACACCTGGTGTTTGCACGGGTAACAAATCACAGTGCAAAGACGCCTGTGGCATATCATGCATTTTGAGCGCTCATTAATGGTCATGCGCACACGACTAATCATTTCTAACATTTCGCGTTCAATTTCCTGGAGCTGCTCCAACGGGCACAGCTGTAATCCACTAATCGAGGGCATTTGTACGTGTGTGCTGACAACTTCTGCCTTAATTTGGTCCCGAAGGGCGTTGAGTGCCCGCTCGCGCCTTTCTGCTATTTGTGGGTCTTCCCCGTAGCGCTTTCGACGCGGCTCCACGGTGAGTGCCTGCTGCTTCTGTTCCTCCAGCAGATCAAGTCGGAAGTGAAGCTGTGGCATACTCATGAAAGCGAGCCCCGCTTCTCGTGTCATTTCAACCCACTGTTGATACTCCAACTGACGAAATGGAGAGTTGGAAATAGAATTCAGCTGGACAACATTGCCGTTCTGGGTGGCGCGGAAACATGGCGGGAGCTCAATGACGATGTGCCACTCCGTACTGGCCATGTCCGCTGAGAAGCCGGAGTACCTTGGGCCGCGTCTCGCCCCCTTCACGCAGGCAATGTAGTAATGATCACTGTTGTCACGGCGCACATCTTCGCTCCGCATCTCGAGGAGAACGCGCACAAAACACCCCCGCACTACCTCCTCAAAGTTCTTCCACTCAATAAAGTTCACCAGAGCCGTGCGAAAGAGCTGCAATTTCAATAAAATCTCTATAGGGGGTGCAGGTGTATGCTCGTCCACCAAGAAATCTGTCTGCCTCGCCTCGGCCATCACGTCTCCTACCAGTCTTGCGTTTCAGCCCTTCCCTTTTTTTTTTTTTTTATTCCACTCCTTTTCCCCCTTCACATTCGACAAAAAACACCGGGCGCACAGGCAAGAGAACAAAGGCGGAGACAAACAACATGACAGTGGTGGACTCCGGTGAAAGGGCGTATCGACGCCAATCAAACACACCCACACAGAGAGAGAGAGAAATAATAATAAAAATAATAGAACAAGGCGAAGTGTCTTTACGTAAAGGAGGGAGATAAACAACAACAACAAAAAATACACAAAACGGCGGCGGCAAATCAATCTCGATAGTGTGTGCGTCTGTGACAACCTTGAACAGATATCCACAAGGAAGACGCAAAAAAAAAAAAAAAAAAAAAAGAAAAGAAAAAAAAAAGGGATGAAAAATTGTACTTAATTTTTGGATTATGTAAAGGAAAAACAAACAAAAAACAAAATAAAAGGGAATTGAAGAAACGATATTCTTGCACGAGGCTCCAATACGTTCAGCATCCCTCTAATACATTTCATCATCAGGCCTTTCTAATAAAGAAAGCACAACAGGCGTTCTGACGCTCCCGGCCCCACCTGTTGGTGCTCGCGGCGTCTTGTATTCCTCAGGGAAAGTCTTCCCCGGGCACACTTCAGGTGACGCCAGATCGTCCTCCATACACTTCTCGGCATTGGGTGTGGTGTTATTTGCTTCCACTGACCGCTGCATCTTCTCCTTTTGCAGCTCGTCACGCATCCTCTGAACCTTTTCGTCTCGTAGCTGCTTCCAACGACGCATCCTTTCATAGATTGTATCCTTGCCACGCGTCGACGATGTTTTCCCGCTTCCCCAGCTTGGGGTTTGAATGGGAGACACGTACTCCTCGGGGCCACGGTGGTAACAGTTGGAGTCACTGTGCCGGATCGCCTCTCTGGCGTCCATCCATGAAGACCCATGACTTGACGCGAGTCTGCTGCTTCCGCTCTCTTGTACAACCGCATTTTCTCTCCTTTCACGGACTGTCGTTAAATGCTCGGGGGATTTTACTGGAAGACCGGAGACAGTCATCCCCGAGCAGGGATTGATGGTAGGTTTGTGCAACCGTCGCTCCGCCTCCCAAATGGCCCGCATCTTCTCCTCATGCTGTATTTCGTACCGACGCCGTCGCTCATCCATTGACACCATACATGAATCCCCCATCCAATGATTCGAAGATCTATTTAGCCCTGAATGCTCCTGTTCGTGCGGCTCTGTATCCTTCTTGCGCCTAGAGAGATGGCCCTCACTTCGGGATCGCACACGGGATACACTCCTCGTGTGCATTATGTCACCGCACGGTCGTGCACTCGGCTTCTTTGCGCTGGATATCAGTCGATCAACGACATCGCCGTCGCGCTTCAGCGTCGCAGCGTGTGCCGTGATACGCGGGGCGAAAGGCAAAGACTCCGCCCTTTCTTGCTCTTCTTGTCGTTCCCACAGCGCCAGCCTTGCAATCGCCGCTTTTTCCAACATGGCTTCAATAAAAAACTTTTTGTCAAACCCGTTGCGCTCCCTTGCGCGCTGCACGATATCTGCGCTGCGAAGGTTTATCCTCGGCGAGCCGTACACTTCCGCCATCTCCTCCGCCAGACGGTGGTGCCTTCGCTCTTCAGCACGTTGTGTCCTCTCCTGTTCCTGCTGACGGTGGCAATTGAGATATTCCTCCGTTTCCTGCAGTGCACGACCCTTTGATTGGCGCCCTCGGTCGGTTATATTTGGCACAAACCACCCTTCCATGACCTGCTGCCGTTCCCGCTCCCGCTCCCGTCGTTTGAACTCTCCACGCTTCTGTTTTTCCTTGTGCAGTCGATCCAGCCGCTCGTAGATGACCGTGTCACGCGGGAGGTTATGGCTCATTTCACTGATGCGGGGGGTACGGCGGCACAGCGACAGCTCCTGTTGCACAGCCATGTTGCGTGCCTCTTCCTTTTTCTCCGCTGCAATTATGTCACGCCGCAACATGGCCTCGTACACCTCGCGGTTTGAACGCCTCTTACGACGTGCCGAGGGGGACGATGGCGATGGAGACAGCGACCCTGACGCGTCACGCCGCAGTGAAGGGGTTTTTAGCGCCACGTCACGGAGTGAGAGTGGCAGACGGTTGAACGGATCCTGGAGGAATTCCGCGTTGTAATCCTTTTTTGCCTTAATGAAGGATGGACAACTGCGCTGGTCGACGGAAAGAGGTGAATTGAACATTCTACCCTACACTTCAACCTTGTGAGGCAACAGGGGGCTCGCACCATACACACGGAGAGACGAAAATTTAGCGACTTACATCAAATACAGCAGGAAAAGAAAGAGACCAGCAACCGAAACAATAATTGTCAGGCCAAACACTTCAACACAACAGGGAGATGCGACGCAAGAAGACCCATTTACTGAACACGTGATGCGGCTGTTTTCACGGGTTGGTGTGTGTTTGTGTGTGTGTGTGTGTGGGAAAAGTAAAATTATGTATTTCATTCTTTTTTCCTTCCTTTTTTTTTGCTCCTGGTGCGGTACCACGAGTTGCCACCGCGTTTCGTTCGGCAGTTTCATTAACGCAGACCTCCAATGGAATGTCTTCGTCATCTTCGCCAATTTCCTTGTCGTCGTTCCATCCGTTGGCTCCATTTCCCCCTCCCCTCCCTTTTATTCAGAGCCCCGAGATGACATTTGATCTCCCTTTCCCTTTTTCTCATCCTCATGCCGTCAATCGGCTAAATGGCATGAGACTACAGACACAAAGCCGTGACAACAACAAGAAAAGGGAAATTGAGCGACGCTTAAAAAAAAAAATGTCGGAAAGGCGGTGGCCACGCTGCACACACACAGACAGAGAGACAAACAAAAATGAGAGACCCCTTAACCCCTTTGCAGTTTATTTCCACCCACTCACCGGCACACATTTCTTTCTTTCCTTTTTTCTTCTTTTGTCCCCGTCACACACCATAGTACATTTCTAAGAATGAAGATGATGAAGCAGATGGGGAACGTCATAACAAATAAAAAAAGAAAGAAAGAAACAAAATGTCATCGAAAAATTTACCACTTATTTTTGTCCCAGGAGCTCCAGCCAGCTCCTCAGATTCATGGGCACCTGCTGCGACAGCGCCTCGGCCATGCTGTGAATAAAATGCAACGTGTCTTCTGCATTTTTAAAGCAGATGTCATCTGCTACAAATGTCGCCATTTCTTCAAAGGCCTCCACGGTTATTTTTAGTTCTCTTATGGAATCCACAAACTTCTTCTCCGCTTCCGTATGACGCGCAAGACTTGCCAACAACCCCAAAAGCTGCGGGTACTCGCCAAGATCTTTCATTTGCATCCCTGAATTATAAAAGTCCTGCAGCCATGGCTCCTCGGCAATATTGTAAGCAAAATGCCGCATAATATATGGTATTCCCTTCACTCTAAGAATTGCCTGTTTTGCCTCCTCCGTGACCGCCTCCCTCCCTGCTCTAATAAGTCCATCTCGTAATTGATCGTAGTCCTTGCCATGATAATGTGCAAAAAGCAGCTCCACCCCTACTACACGCGCCTCTGTTGTCCACAGCTGTGTTTCAGTGTACCAGTGTGACACGAGTTGATCTGCATAGCGTGACAGCGGAGGAACACGGGATGCCAAGTAACGTATAAAATATTTCTGTGCCTCAATTGTGGGATCTTCATTGGCCTCTGCCAAAGTTTGAATGGCGGCTATGGCGGCATTCATTTTCCGGGAGAGCGACGCTGAGATGATCATCGCGGAGGCCGCCGTTTTGTCCCATCGAGCAGAGGAGTGCCGCATCCATGACCACAAAGCCAACACCTTCCGATGCTCACCACCACGTGAAAGTAGCAGCAACACGTGACCATAATCCTTTGGGCTAACAAACGATCGCTTGAGGGCAATGTCCAGAGCCTCCGCGACGTTTACTTTGTCCTCTGAACTCGCTGCGTCACTCATTTCCGTCAAGGGGCAAAGCAGTGAGCCAGCAAGATGGGGCACCTCGCGTATATCTCGCATCAGCCGCTGCTTCACCTCCTGCGTTTTTCCCTCTCTCGATAGGCGACCCGCAAAGGCTCTGAGAAAATCACACGATATCACCGATGAGACGGGGCGGACCGCATCGACAAGACGCAGCAGTGTATCCGCATCCACGTTTGCATCCTGAGAAAGTAGCTGCTTGGTTTCCTCCGCCAGGGCAAATGCCGATGGATGAGCGGACAGCAACGCCACGGCCCGTTTCGGTTCGCCCTGCAGGACGTAGTTCCTACTCAGCGCGGCCCCAATGGGAACAGGGATCGGTACGAGGGGGTAGCGCGTGCGAAAGGCCGATGCAGTTTCCTGCACAGCTGCAGCATCTTTAAGTGGTAACTTGTCGCCACACAGCAGACGTTGAAAAGTTAACCGCGTCGCAAAACACCGTCTCATTGCTTGTTTTCCTCCCGCACGCGCAAAATTAAAAATAAATATATATTTATATAAGAAGAGTTGGGAAATATACAGCTGACAGAAGGTAAAGAGTGCACACAGTGAAAGGGGGGGGGGGGGGAAAGGAGAGAAGGAAATAAGACTCGTTCATGCATATAAAAAATATATATCAATGCAGAGAACACACACACAAAACAAACAAACAAACAAACAAAAACCAACTCCTCCGTTTCTCCTCCTTTACAAGAAAGACAAGACAAAAACAGAAACAAAACCGCATGAATCTACGCACACAATTCAATTACCACACCAGAGAGACGTTGTCTATCAACCCACTCATACATCCATTCATCTATCTGTCTATCTGTCCGTCTCTCCTCTTCTAGATGATCTAGTAACACAACCTTTCAGCGACGGAACGTCTCCCTATGGTCCGCGGCGTTTAGAGCAGACATGATATCCATCCTTTCCTCGTCCTGAAGTTGCTGCCAACAGTCCCGCACAAACTCCGGATCACGGAGACGTAAAATGGGAATCGCCTCCCCAATGGAGGCTTCTAAAAGTTCAACGACAGCCCCCAGGCGATCATAGAGCACTTGACGTTGACGCCACTTCGTGGTGGAGACATTGGCGTTATCCCCACGGGAGAGAGACACAAATTTGTCTACAAGCGCTGTGCAGAGCTTACAAACCAGCGCCAGTGTCTCGTCTACATCACTGCTCACGTTGTAGCCGATCCATTTGGAGGGAAGAAGTCCTTCCACCTCTTCTGGGGCGGTACATTGCCCGACATTCTTTTCCCAGTAGGCCTCCTTTTCTGTCCATGAGAGATCCCATGTATGCACCGTTTTAACTGTCGAAAGGTGCGCAGAGGCGGCGTTGGCGTCCCAGTTGTGCAGCAGCCCACCGCTGACAAGATTCGGTTCCCGCGCTGTGATCATTGGGCCTGTCAAAGCGGCGGTGTTGGGATTCAAAATTTTCATTTTTTCACACCCCACCATACACTGCGGGTTCAATGTATAAGGAAGAACGGACTGCATGGTTACAGTGGGAAAGTGCACCACGCCGCCACAAAAAAATCCACCTTAATTCACACAACACAAAAACCCTCCCCCCAAAAAAAAGAAAAAAAAAAAAGAAAAAAGACTTGTGCCTGCGCAAACGATTGGGTAAAGAGACGAGGGGAGCAGGATGTATTTGAAAATTAAACACACACACACATAGAGAGAGAGAGAGAGGGAGAGAAAGATAGATATACAAATACATACATGAATACACCCCACAGCCTCACCTGCCCAGCTATCCTCTTCTCCTTCCTCTTCACGTGATCGCACCAGGCAATAAGAGGCACGACAGCCCAAGAAAAGCAAAACATTACAAAGAAAGAAATAAGAGCAAAGCAAAAACAAAAACAAAATAAAACTCACACTCAGTCACAAAATAAAAATAAATAAATAAATAAAATAAAAACCGATGGAATGGCAAATTGGACATCTATTGCTATTCCTTCCTCAGATGCGCACTCCACCAGACTGTGAAGAGGGCGACGACCAGTGCTTGCAGGGCCCAATAAAGAGAACGGCACGCGATGGAAGCCATCGTGGCTGCCATACCGCAGTCAGAAGACTCCTTGACGCAAGTGGAGCGATAATAAAGCGAGACACAGTTCCGCTCCAGCTCGGCAATCTCATCATCTGTCAACCGCATGCCGCAATGGAAAAAAGTAAACACCCCCTTCACTAGACACACACGTCCCTTCCAACACGTGTAGACAACCAAATGAGAAAAAAAAAAAAACAAGAACAAAAACAAAAGAAGACATAAACAACAACAACAACAAAAAAAACAACAATAATAACAACAAGAAAATAATAATAAAAAGCACGCATCAAAATGTACCAATAACAACTGCAACAGCAACATCGACAATAGCAGCACATACACACACATAGCGGGAGCTGGGAGTAAACAATGCATTCCTCAATAAAGTGAATTCTCCCCGCCACTAAATCCACCCAGATTGACGCTGTCGGACAGAAAAAATGCCGAATTGATCCGGCGGCAATAAGTCTCCTGTCACAGGGCACCGATACAAAACTTTCAACACCGAACCATGACGCGTCACAGGGGCCTGACAGGCTGGTTTTGTTTTCCTTGACTGAATTTGCTCCTCTAGCGCTTTCCGATAGGCCTCACGCTTTTCTAACGCCTTCGCCCGTTCTCTTTCCAGCGCGCGCTTCGTCTCAATTTCCTGCATCTCAAGGTACTTTTTTTCTTGCATTGCCTCTCGCTCCTTTTCCTCTCGACGAGATTCCCGCGCCATGTCCACTCCACTTTTCAGTTCCTCGCAGTACAATTGTTCTCGGCGTTGTTTTTCCTTTTCTGCTTTACGGCAATTGTCTTGAAATAGAGAGAGGCACAAGTCATCTTCGGTTGATATTCGCTTCTTCTCATGGCGTTCAACAGCCGTTTTTCTTGCTTCCTTTTTAAACTCATCTTGCTGTCTACGCTTTTCCGCCCAATCACATTCCATCCTCTGCGTGTACGCCCTTTCAGCTTCCCGCAACGCCTCTCGTTCCTGCTGTATTTGCCTCTCCACTTCCTCGGCACGTCGTCTCTTTGTTTCTTCCGCCAGTCTTTTGTTTGCCTCCATTAACTCACGCTGTCTCTCGCGCCGTGCACCAGCGTCCTCCCTCGTGGTACGCAGAAACCACTCGGAGCCCAAATCACTCGTCTCTAACACGACAGGGGCGGCTTTTACAAAAGTTCCCATGCCAGAACGTTGTCGTTCCTCACACAAATATCGTTTCTTCTCTAGCGCACGTCTATCTTCTCTCTCCACTTCTGCACGTACCACTTCCAATGCCGCTGCTTCTCTGGCCCTCTCCTCTATCTTTCGCGCTTGCCGCTCCATTTTCTTGTCCTCAGCGAGTTTTCGGTTCGCATCCAAGAGAGACAAACAAATCTCTCGCCGCTTTGCCTCATTCGGAGGAGCATTATCCCACGGAAAGGCAGCACACTCCAGCGCCAGATGATTGTTCCCATCGGCTGCCTCTTGTCTCTTGCGCTCCATCGCGTCTAATAATTCCCGCTGCATGGCCTGGCGTGCCGCTTGTTTCTTTATTAAAAGAGCGGCTGCTTCGTTGACGGCAGCCTCTTTTACCGCCTTTAGCTCCGCCACCTCAACTTCTAAACGGCGCTGCCGCTCACGCTCCCTTTCTTCCACCTTGCGCTGCGCCTGTTCCCTGTTTATATTCTGCAGATGCTCTAAGAGACGTCGTCGAGCCAAATCTTCTCGTTCACTTGTTTGAATAAAAAAGGTGTCAGGTGAAATGCGGGAAACGGCCTCCTCTTCGCGTTGCCTCCGTCGTTCTTTCATCAGCTGCAGGTTGACTGCCCGAATACAAGGCACCCTCGCGTTGTAAATAAGGTACTCGGTGTTCGGGCGGCCGGCTTTCCCCTTCACCACCACCACTTCTCCGGTGTAATCGGCAAGAGGCACCCTCGGAACACGACGCGGAGAAATTACTTGAGCGGCTATTGCCCCCTTCACAGGCGGACGCATGCACGGAGCCAATACGCGGTAGTTTCCTTCGCGACGGTTGTTCTTCTGCACCGTCTGAGAAGGAACTTCGGGAACCGAAACACCCAAGTGAGAAAGCAGCGAAAATTCGTGCTGGGACATGGGCCGTATGGGTATGTGTCTCTTTTCTATATATATATGTTATATTATTTTTTTTGATCGTTGACTTCTATTATAGGCTGTAACCCTTCGACAAGGGAAAGAAGAATGAGAATCAAGCACACCGCAGACCGCCACCCATATATCTCTTCACAGGATTGTAACGTAAATACGGAAGCCTCTAACTGTTGCCTCCAAACCTATCCCTGTACGCATATATACACGTCTCTTTGCTTCTCTCGCTGAACTTTTTCCATTCCATTCCTTTCTATATATACATACATATATATATTGTGGTTTCTTATTGTGGTGTCAAAGGCAAATATTGCACGCAAAATCACAACATCAACAGGGGGGGACAATAATAATAATAATAACTTCAAGATTGCGTAATTGGCGTAAAGGAAAAATCAGACTTATATGGCACTCCTGGTACATGGTCCTTCAGTATTTTGACACGAACCTCCTGTAACTTGGCGTTATATTGGGTGTGCTTCTCGTGAATGTTTGATCTCTGCCCTCATGTTCCTTCGTCACCTTGCAAGTATCAGCTAATAAATAAAATAAAAATAAAAATAACGAAATTTGACTCCCACTGCCTTTCATCCAAAATCTAATATGAGAAAGAACCGATGCCATTTTCCTCATCTTGCATCATAATTGATTGCCCACCATTATGGTTTCCAAATTATCACCGTTCCAATGTCTCTCCCGTGATTGCCACAACGCCGCTCCAAGTTTGAGTTATGCCACAGACAGGAAAACTTGAAAAGTTATCATCGTGGCGATGGGTAATCCGGTTTCACGCCGGATTCCCCACAGCAGCTAGCAGAGAAGACATTGTGGTCTCGCCGTAGTGCCCTCGACGCACCACAAATTTAATTCACGGGTTTAAAAATTATCCCTTGGTGAGAAGATGAAAGAAAAGCAGCTGTTTCACTCCGCAAGCTCCCACGCGGTCCACCGCTTCCCCAAATCCTCATCTGTGGGCAGATTCGGAACAAACTCACTTCGACGCAAAAAAAAAAAAAGAAAAAAATAGATACACAGAAAAACCGCTTGCTGACCAACACACACAACAGGAATTTTCCCCTTAAAAACAAAAACAACCCACACTGCACAAAGCGTCCGCAAAGCTCCGCCTTTTATGATCCAAAGTGATCCGTAGACAACAAATAGATCATTTCATGCCTACCTATTTGGCAAAAAACAACAAAAAACAAACAAAAAACACTTCTGGTGGGAGTTGCCTCATGAATACCACCAGTGGTAATATTTCCACTAGTTGATACCTACTGTTCATGTAATTACCGAAAAGTGCGACATGCAATTCGTCATTTTATCATCGCCTATAGGATAGGATTGCGCATTTATTGTGCCAACTCCGCATGATAGCCTTTTGCAAGTTTCCATGATGAACCATATCAACACATAATTCTTCATGACATGAGCATCCCTCTCAAAAATTCTCAGCGCTGTAAAAGGGGCCCCCGAGAACTACTCAGTTTCAATCCTTTTCCCGTTGCTTGTGAACATTGATGCCAATGATTACTGCTACGTCTCATCCCCAACAAATGAGGTTAATGGCACATTATATATATATATATATAGATGTATTAATTCCCTAAAAATCGCCAACATATTTCCCTTCCTCCTTATTTTTTTTTTCTAATTTGTTTTCCAATGTACATAGGATAAAAATTACTACCGCCAAAAGTGCAAATCAATACCAAAAATGATTTCCTTCACCTTTCCTTACCCACTTCAACCCTTGGGTATCTGATGTAGCACGTCCACGGCGTCATAGTAGAGAGAAAGTAATGCGGCCACCTCCAAAAATCGGTCGCATACTTGCTGCGTTGGTGCCGTGGGGGTGTAAGTTTGCATGACCTCCAACACAACCTGCTCCCGTGATGAGCCAATGATGCGATACTCAGAGAGAATATTCCGCCGAGAGTAAGGGGTAAGGCCAAGTGAATACACTAGATGGCGGGAATGTCTAGAAAAAAGTGGAAACCCATAGTAATTCTTTAGACTGTCAAAACTACGCTGGAAATCATAACGATTTCTCTGTCTCCTGCGTGGCATTTTCTACACCAGCTAGAAAGCGCTTATAATTGTATATTCAAACAGAAAAAAAAAAGAAAAAAAAAAGAAAAGGCGCAAGAAGATAAAGAAGAGCGATTTTTTTGTACACAAAAAATATATGTAAATAAATAAATATATAAAGAGCACTGGAAGAAAAACAAGAGAAGCGACTTTTTTTTTCCCTCCTTTCCCCTTGTTCTTTTACCTCCGTTCCACTTACTTCTTCCTTTCACGTGATTTGTGGGAACCTATGCCCTTTCAAACGGCAAACGGGAGAGAAAGTGAGCGGGCAAGACAGGCAATATCACCCCCCTTTGGGCTCAGCATAACGATTTTTCCTCTTAGAAACCACCAGTTCCATATTTCGATGTAGGAGGTACTGTTTCTGGCGTGTCCTCTGGTATTCATAACGCCACACCAACTCCTGATGGTAGTGATCAATGACCCCCTGTGGGTTGCGGTTGGAGAGAAACCCAATCTTGTACAGCTTTCGCTCAAAGTCGCTTGAGAAATGCCACAAGGGCCCCCAGCCAAGACCAGCTAACTCACCGGAATTCACAAGAAATCGCGTAAATGCACGAAATTCATACTCGTCAAAGTTGCCGAGTTGAATAGGGTGAAATAGAGAGTCCTTTTCTGCATCGTATGGGGCGTATTCATCTAGGCTATTCGTGAACCGATCTGTTTCAACATCTGGAAAACCGCTGATGCCATCAAATGGTTTGAAATCTCTCGTGGTGCATGTGAAGAAGAACTTATTCGGTTCATCCTTGGAGAGAATCATTTTGTTCAGGCCGCGGACAAAACCAAGTCGGGACGCAGGAATACGAGGCAGTTCTTGTGGATAGAGATCGATATCTGTGGAGTCATCGTTGAGCGAGGCAAGCGTACGAAGAAAGTCAGGATGTGGATATCGAAAATGTGTATCATGGGAGAATAGATTCCATCCATCCACAACAATAACAATGGGAAGCTTCTTCTCTGCACTAAGCTCGTCCATGAGGAACTTGACACAGACGCTCTGACGATCAATGGAGGCCGGGGCCACTACCTGATGTCCCCATTCGCAGAGTTCATACAAATTTTGTGGTTGTCGTTCCCCCTGTTCTACCGGCAGGTCATTTGGGGTACACTTTAATCGCCAAGACAGCAAAGTGCTGCGGTTGGCTTTTGCAAAGTAACGAAGAAAGAACCGTGCGGCATCCGGGGCATCAAAAAACCCCGGCAAGATGGTACTCGGCCAGCACCATTCCCCGTGGGTCCATTCTTTCGCATTCGGGACGTATAATGTCAGAAGGTTTCTCGAACGGGCGTAATGCACCACTTGACACATAAGAGCGCTCTTTCCACATCCTTTTGGACCATCAATGATAAAGCCCGGCCTATTATTAGTAAGCGAACTCAACACATTGCGCTTTGCCTGCCAGTGTTGTATTTTATCAATAAACAAATTTAATAAATGCGCCTCCTTTCGATATAAAAATCCTCTAGGATGCCCTGGAGGCATCAACTGCATCACCTTTCCTCCCAAACCCTCTGGAAAAAACTGCATCAATTCCTCATTGCCAACACAATACATCGAGTTGATGTCATTGAAGGAAAGTCGCGTTGGGGAGGTTTCCAAAGGGTGGGAATAAAGCTTCTTTACGTATCGTACTGGCACGCCCTTCTGCATTACGCGAACCTCTTTCAGTGGAATAGCTCCATTCCACATGGCCACCGGAGCCTCACAGGCATCCGTATAGCACGTGACAGGCGGCCGCACATACAAAGAGGCCAAGCTTTTTCCAACTAGCCTTGATCGCATTGCTCTGCAAAGAGCAACGGAGATCAAATGCAAAAACAACAACAATAAAAATTACCTTTTTTTGTAGAAAGCACCATGTATAAGGGTAGACAAAAGAAAAAACATTATGGAAAAAAACAAAAACAAACAAGAGTATGTTTAAATAAATTTATATAAATACATGCATAATTCCATTCTGTGATGAGTGCTCCAATTTATGCATCAAAAGACTAAGATCCATGTGCATTCACGAGTGCTATTTGATATCAACAATTCTCCTGGAAAAACAGCTGCGCATCCTCCTAACCATAAAAAACAAAACAAAACAAAGCGGAAAGATTAGAAGAAATAAAAAAACAAAAGGATGAAAAGCTTAAAATAAACATAAAAGTCCTATATGCGTTCTGAACGACTCTGGTTCACAGTTATTTTCGCAGAGCTGCTGAATGGAGGATTTTGCACAGCCAAATCACGGTATTTTGGATCCTTCTCCATACAATAAGGTGTTTTCGTCCAAGGAATGGTCATATCTTCTGGTTCACCTTGGTGTAGGGCAATGGTTCTTATCAGTCCACCACTAGATCCATCACGACTGTAGGCGTGTGCAACAGCTCGCTGACAAAAGCAAACACACTCCTCCTTACTCATACCCGTTTTGTAATTGGCGTCAAAAAACGAATACAAGAAGATAGAACCGCTTCCTCCCAAGGCGTAGTCCAACTTTACACACGATCCACCAGAAGGGATGCTATAGACAGATCCACCATTTAGAGGATCATACCCTGCCACAATAATACCAGCTGAAATATTCCATTTATTCATATAGCATAATTTTTTAAAGATATTAGCGGCGGTCGTGACGTTTACTGGCTTAGATGTGTCTATCTCATAGCTTTCTAAATAATTGGCTGTTTGCTCGGCCAGGGCTTGAGTGTCTGCGGCAGATCCACTGCGGCAGCAGTATATTTTCTCGGACAATTTCGTCAATTTATTGCTTGCCCTGTTCACCACGTAGGTCCCTGTGGAGGTGCGAGAATCCGCGGCAAGTACGACACCTCCTTTGAATGAAACAGCCATAATTGTTGTTCCAAGCGAAACAGCTTCATTTAACTGGGGGTCAAGTACTGCAGCTTCCGGTTCAAACAGTTTTTTTGCACTTTGTGCTGGTCCGTTTAAAGTCAGCTCATGCTTAATTTCCATTGGACAATATGGCTCATGAAGCAATGCTCCTTCCGGGCGCTTAATCATTTTTTTAATTAAAAAAAAAAGTTTTTGGTTCACTGAAATGCTCTTGCTATCCTTTCCAAACAGACAAACAAAAAGGAAACAATGCGCATATACACTCAAATAAAATAAACAAATAAAGAGAGAGCAATCAAATCAAAGTTATACCACAATAAAAACAAGAACAAAAAGGCGTGCTGTGTACATTCTGTTCCTCTACTAATTTATTCAGGTGTGTGTGTGTGTGTGGAAACTAACTAAAGCACCGTAAATGTTTTCAGATGTTCATCAGATACTTTGTGGTCTGCCGGGTTTGGTTGTGCCTCGTACACAATATTTGTGGCCACTTCTTGATGAACGGACCTTCCCGTTGATTCACCGAAAAGATCAATACGGAGTAAATGGGTTTCATCTTCACCAAAGCTTCGCTCAAAAAACAGTCCCAGATTCGAGCAAGCAGAGAATTTCGCCGGGTTCAGACGGTACACTATTCGGTCTCCCGAGGAGACTTGTGCCAACTGAATTTCTTCCTGCGGTTGCAAACGACGGACAGAGTTAAAGCCCACAACATCAGTGGGATTACAAAATAATTTTACTTGAGCCGGGGCAAAGTCATCGTTTGTTCCAAGAATAGAAATGCCTCTGACACGGCAAACTTGCTTAAGGGGCACCAGAAACAAGAGCTCAGGGTCAGCATCGCTACAGACCGCGTCTTGATTATCTTCCATTTTTGGATCGAACAGGCGTGCCGCTTCAAAGGCGCTGTGTCTTGCATTCCATAGCTGCAACAAGGGCAAATCTACTTGCTCGTTTAAAGGCGATCCTATACCAAACACACCCTCTCGAACAAAACCATCCCGCAGGTGTTCGTGAGATCCCGTACCGTGTCGACAGTTACAAGGCATGGTGTTTTTATCCCTATAGAATACAAAAATAATAATAATATTAATAGGAGTAACAATATGTTATTAAAAATCACAAGAAGAGACACAAAAACAAAAAAAGCAAAAGACTATCAACAAGTAAAAGAAACCAACAACAACAACAAAAAACAAAAACTTAAATTTGACAGTGAAATCAAACCGAAGAATGATATCGACAATAATAGAAAAGAAGAATTACTACACAGAGAAAAGGTGACAACCACACAGGAGTTTTTCACGTATCCTTTGCATTTAAAAAAAAAGTTCTTTGCGTTTTCCTGGTGCAAACCGGGCGGTGTGAAATCTGAACATTTCAGCAGTTACGGCAGAAGGTGGCATTATACCCTGCTCAGAAAAAACAAGCGTGATCATTGTCGGCGGAACAAACTCTACGAGAGGAACGTCATTGCTTTCTTCCGGCTGTTTGAGGTCCGCCGTACTAAGAGGGAAAATGCGAGTGAATTTAAACGTCTCACAAAGAACGTAAAAAGGAACTTTCATTGCAGACGCAACAGTGGCAATTTGTAGCGACCCAGTACTATGTACCAGCCCTCCATGCTCAGTCACACAGTATGCTCCCATTACCACAAAATCCACTTTACTCATGATAGCACCCATACCGGCATCGGGAATAATTGTGCAGGATTTCATCAAAGCGTCTTTGAGACGCATTCCCTCCTGTGTCTGTGCAGCCCTTTCCAGCAAAGCTACGCCCGTGCCTTCCGAGTACTTTTTGCTTGCAGAACGTCCTTCGCAAATGTAAAAATGTACGCCGCACCTTTCCTGTATGGCACACGCAATCGCAACAGCCAGCAATCCACCACAACCATGAACCAATATACGAGAAGTGCTCCCAACAAATGGCAGCATGTCGTTTATTTGATCTTTTTGACTCCACTCAAAATCCTTAAGCCTCGCTTCGCATCTAGCATTCATGTCGGACAAACTACGCTGCAAATCATGGCTAATTGCAGCGTCTTTGGTTAGATGAACTCGAAAACGCTCAAACCCATCACCAAGAGATTCATAACCACGCAAAGTCTCGGTTATTTCCTTATCCAGCTCTGAATACGTTGAAAACTGCTTTGATCTCAACAAATACTGGACTTCTTTAACGGCTTTAATCATAATACTGATGTCGTAGTCATCGTGGGGAACTTCCATCCTTTATTTTTTTTTATCCTTCGTTATGTATTTCCCTTTTTAAAATATTTATTTGGCAGTTTATATTTTATCAGTACAAAGGAGCACAGAGGAAGCACAATATATACAGACACAATCGAGAAAAAAAAAAAAATGAATAAAAAAGTATCTACTAATTCATTATCCATCTCAAATCACAATGATTCCTTTTCTCCTTCTCTTGCACACAGACACAAATATCGGGTGCCCTTCTGCGTGCAATAAATAACTATTTAAGAACGGCTCTTAACTCTCTAGGGAATCTATGTAGCGTAGTACACTTTCGCAATAAATGGAGTCATGATGTTTCCTCTGAGCGGCACTAACCAGTTCTGCGGTGATCGAAGGTGAAAGAATTGCAATACACTTTAGGACATCCACAATAACCAGCCTTAATCCTACAGTCTCCTCAGCATCGTCAAGGTGTATCAAAACCTTTTTTACCAAAGGCGTCGCTTGTGCTATAATTTGATCAATAACAATACAGGAGACAGAGTCTTTTTTTTGTAAGACGGCCAGAAACCCGGAGGCAGCCCTTACACGTAGAACGTCACTGGAGTCATCAAACCGTAGTAATATTGACTGTAATATATCATTTGCACTGCCTGCATGCATGGGGAGAGAACAGATATTCGCTGCACTTTCCATGCATAACAAACGCATTTCTGCATCGTCTGCATCTGAAGCATTGCACCAGATCGCCACCGTTTTTGAAGAAAGGGCAAAATTGTTGTCCTCAAATGCCGTAAGTAATGGCCGACGATGCTTTTCCTCAACAATGGCACATAAGCAGCCAATGGCAACTTTTCGAATTAGATAAGCCTGACGACCCGGGTGAAATGTGCCCAAGGGAAGAATAATTAGCCGAAGAATCTCTTCTAGTTGAGTTCCTGTAAAAAAAGATGATTTCTGCCACAAAAGTTGTTCCAATACACGAAGGTACTGCAACTCCTCAGCAATGCTTTTTGAAAAATCAATGCTGTTGAGTTTTACAAGAAAGACATCTGAGACCTGCTCCGCGTGGCTCTCAATATTTTTACAGTGCAGAACAAGATCAGAAAAGGCACTCACTGGCATATGTACACCATATCGAAACAACAATCTCCCAAAGTGAAGACCGTAGATACCATCGGCTTCTCCTGTTACAATAGAAGACAAATCTTTTATTCTTCGAGAAACACGCTCCTGTACAGAAGGAAAATCAGACGATCGAAGACACAATAGGGCATAAAAAAGAATCGAATCCAGTGTTCTCCGAGTCAAATCTTCACAAATTTCACGAGGTAATGGATTCGTTGCAGTTGGAATAAAACCCCGCTCACCCAAAACACGCGCCAGTACACCCAATGTATCTAGTAGAGAACAAATAAGTGCCTCAGAATCAGTTTCTAACACATCAGCAGACGTCATTGCCCTGACAATTTGATTTGCCTGTGAGGTAGACAACAAATGCTTCGAACCTTCTATAAGATAACGAAATGTCACCAAAATACTGCATTTCACCGACATAGCAGCGGTTGAAAAAACCGTTACCGCGGGGGTGAGAGAGCCATCAGCTGGCGATACCAAAATTGTTTTTGAATGCAACCGAATCAATACAGTATTATCTTCCTCAGCTTGTTTTAAATTTCCCTTTCCAGTTAAAAAGGGCATGTATTGATCAGGAGTCAAAAACTTCCCCAAAACTTCCACGCAAATAAGCGATTCTTGAACAACATCTTGGTTATCTTCCCTTAAGGACTTATATAAAACACCCAGTATTTGCTCCACAAATTGGACCACAGATTTCTCTGCATGATATATACTCATCCACAAAATGCGTAGAGCAACCACACGTCGATTGTTAGAAGAAAATTTGATAATCCAATCGATTGCGGTTACATCGGTCAATATTTTTTCAATAAACCCACGTAATGATTCTGCTACAACATAACGCGCACCCAAGGAAGGTCGTACTTGTAAGACACGATACAAATTTACATCAACGGTAGTCAAGGTCATATCCGGATATTCATCATCACCATACCATTCAATGTCTTTCATAGTTACTCTTCTCTTCGTTATATCGATGGAGTTATCTTCATTGTCAAGCATGTACAATTTCCCCATATTCTCTAACGCTTCATATGCTTTTGTTGACACCGCAACAAAATCATCCGTCATTAGCAACAACAAATGGGGGAGATACTTGCGATGTTGTTCAAGACGCTCAACAATATCCAAAAATGCCGTTGAAAGCAGCTCCACAACAGCTACGCGAACCGCTTCCACGTGGTCGTTTGCCAAAACAAAAAGAATGGAAACCGTCGTTTTGTTTCTCTCTTCCTCTTTTTCATCTGAAAGGATCTGTGCCGCACCATGTCGAATTAACGAAGTCAATGCACGTACAGCCTCAGCACGCACTACACTGTGCTTATGAAGAAGGTAGCATTTGACCACTTTAGCAAGTGACAGTGCAATATATTTGACTTGTACCGGTTCAATTTCACAAAGACGGACACACGCGCAACATGCCTCTTTTTTTAGTTGTGGAAATGAATCACGCAAACAATTTTCCAAAAGTATCTTTAGAAAATCAATATAGTTACGTGGACCAATTTCATTTGGGTAGGTTTCCATACACAAAACCGCAAGTCTTAACAATAAAAGCCGTACTTCTTCGCTCTCCTCTACAACAGGCAAAACACCTATCCTCGTTACAACAGCCGGCAAAATCCAATCTAACACAGAAGAGCCTTGCCGCGGAAGAACACATGTTACAATCTTCACAGAGTATTCACGGCAACGCTCTGAGGTGTCTTCAAATCCACGAAGGCAGCATCGAAGCAAGTCAAACTCCTCCACGTTGTTAAGAGATCCACATTCACACAAATGTAACAATTTCTCATAAGCCGCCAAACGCTTTTGTCGGACACCATCAGAAATCTCATTCAAATATCTTGGAAGTAGCTCCATTTAAAAGTTTTCGCAAATTTGTTTGCTATGTATTATAAGAAACTGATAAAAAAAGAAACAAAAAGGAACAGGGAAGGCTGCTCTAATCGTAAAAAAAGATAAAGTAGCATTTAAAAAACACATTAATAATAATAATAACAACAACAACAACAAAAAAACAGAAACAGAAGTAATAAAAAAAGTGCTTAAATTCTGACACAAATACTTCGGTTAAAAAAAACACAATGATTACGTGGGGCCGAAATCAGTTCATGAAGACGATAAATGTGGCACAAGGCCCCCGCCATAATAATAATAATAATAATAGTAATAAGCAAATAATGAAAACATTGTTCGCATGCGTGTATTTACAAGAAAAAGCAATTACCTCGTGTTTCCTTAAATAAATTCGACGGCTTGCATTGCAGCAAGACGTGTCTCCAGACCCCGTGGTGTTACGACTGTGCCCCGTCACGGCGCGGCTGCTCCGGGCGCCGGTCGATGCCGTCAGCCCCGCGCCAACAACCACGACCCCGTGAGGGAAACATGGCTGGGTGTCGTCTTCTCCCGACAATACGGGCAATTGGCCCTGGCAACGCGATGGGTTGGCCGGCACCGCCAGGGGGCGCGCTCCGGTTGGGCTCTTTGCTGTGTCCTGGGCGACCCGGGTCGCGTGCTGCCCTGTCGATCCGCAGCCCGGTTTTGTGGAGATGACTGGCTGTGGTTCCTCGCTCCGAAAGGCTGGCCAATCGCCCGTGATACGCGCGATGCCAACTTCCGCATTTTTTTTCGCCGCATCCTCCGAGACAGGCGCTTTGCCCGCAATAATGCCGCCGGGATTGTGAGGCACGGAAATATGCGTTGGCAGCACGGCAGCCAACACATAGCGGCGCAGTGCGGGCTGAGATCAGAAGCACTGCACTGCAGGATGGTTGGCTTTTGGCTTTCCAAAGAATCGTGCCCGCGTCCTTTGGTGCACGACCGTGGCGCCACGGTGGGGCAGCCAGCCATGAAAACATCAGGACGCCGGATCTTCACCGCCGCCGCAAGAATAGGTCGCTTGTGAACAAGAACGGGCCCGTGCCGTCCATACGTGCGCCCATTTTTATCGGCATCCATGCGGCGGTGGGCATGTGGGGCGTGGTTCCTCCGCCGGCTGCCTGTGCATGCGTGGGCATCGTCGCACTTACATCGAATTGACGCTGCGATTCACAGCACACGTGTTTGTTGCTGTCACGAAATGGGCGTTTGAGAACCGTTGCTGCGTCGCGCTTTTTGGATTGGCGCTTTGGGCCATATAACTGCAAATGATTTTTATTACGCGGGAACGATTTGTGGTATTACACCTTGTCATGGTATTCGGCGAATTTATGCTGCTTTTATTAGTTGCTTCCTGTTATTTTGAAATACTTTTCCTTGGGCTTTAAAATGCTTCATGATATTCTTTTGTGTGATTTGCTGTGTTGGATGGTTTTAATTATCTGTCTTCTAGTTAATCTTGAATATATATATATATATTTAAAATGGAATATTACTGCTCTTTTCCTTTTATTTTAAACTTGCAATGATTTTTACTGCCATGCATAAGTGGAGACTATTTTATTTTATTATATATGGTTTTGGACGGATAGGATGAGCCTAACCCTTTATTTTACTCATTTATTTATTTTTAGAATGCTAATTATAAAAATATTTAATTTATCTTGTGCTTTTTGTGGGTTATTATTATTATTATTATTATTATTATTATTATTATTATTATTATTATTATTATTATTATTATTAATTTTTGGGTCGATATATATATATACTAGTTTGGAATTGCTCTGATTTCCGCTTTTTTGTCTTGGATGAAAAGAATATTTTTAGGGATGAAATGTCAGAAAAAAAAAATACATGAGGCCAAAAATTAAAATGGGCTAATAATTTTTTGCCTACAGATTGTTTCAGGAATAATTAAGCATTTTTAGCGGAATTCTTTTTTTTCCCCCCATTTACATTTGCTTCTGTGGCCGGTTTTTTGCTTATTGTTATATCATATATATATATTAACCTGCTATATCTTATTCCATTGTTCTCTCTCTCTCTCTCTCTCTTTTTTTTTTTCTAAACATACATGCGTAATAATAATATTAGTTCTATTTTACTCCACGTTAATTGGGCGCGTCGGAAAAATTCTTGAGATATACCAGGAGAATAAATACTGCGGGAAGAAGAGCAATAAAAAATGGCCTCTACATACGCTTTGATCGCTTTTGCTTTTCTGGCTATGACAAATGTGGTGTTTGCTCAGAATAGTACAGAAAAACCCCAGCAACCGAAAAAGGAGTTCCCTCTTGTCTGGGTTTGTCTGGGGGTTACTGTTGTCGGCATTGGGATCGCGTTGTACGTTGCCTACCGCCGTCCCGATGAGCTTCATCTTCCTGGCTCCACAGTGATGGTCAGCAAAGAGTCTGAGGAGATGAAAAAAATTAACGAGCCCACCACGAAGGACAAACTGGAGGAAGGCCTTGAGCAAATCTAGGAGTTAAGTATAGCGTTGTTAAGGAAGAAAGCAATAACAATAATAAAAGAGGAGAGAGGGAGAGAGATAGCGGTAACCATCTCCGAACTCTTAGGGTTTCAAAAAGCAAAACAATTTTATTTATAATTTTTTTTTTCCGCCTTAAAAAAAAAATACTGTTACTTTTTTTTTATTTTTATTTTTACCACTTGTTTTTTGAAAGTAATGCAAAACGACGATTTCAAAAATGGGAGAGCAAAAGAATATATATATATATATATATATATATATATTTCTTTTATAGTTTCACATTTGGGAAAGAAAACAACTGAGGGTTTTCAATTTGTTGTATATATATATATATATTGGCCGAATGGAAAATAAGTGATGTCTGGTGATTAACATTTTTCTGTTGTATTTTTTTAATGGCATTTTTTTTTCTTGGCAACGCAGCTGTTTGATGACAAAGATGCTATATTGGACTTTTTTCTTTTGGCCCAATATACGCATTTGGAGGCAGCTTTTCTTTGCTCGTTTTTCCCTAATTGAATGCAGGAAGATGTCTCCTAACCCGGAATACTTAAAGAAAAAAAACGACGCAAAATGCGGAAAAAGCGGGGAAAATGAAATGTACATGTTTATAAATTAATTTTTTCTCGGCATGTTGTTGAGATAGAAATAAAGAATAGTCATTTTTTTTTTTTTTTTGAGAACCGTCATGATTTCCCCAGTACCGTGTTTCTTATTTAGCCCTTTAAAATAGTGTTTTTCTTTTCTACCTCTTATATCGGGGTCACGGTGGCAGCAGCACCTGTAGTCAAAGTATATTTGTCTGGAAAAAGCAAGTTGTATAGGTTGGAGCGAGGATTTTTTTGATTTTGTTTTTTTCCTTTATTTAGGGGAGAGTTAGTGGAACGGTTTCAAATGATTGATTGTTAGGGCATAAGAGAAGGCTTAATTAAAATCTTACCACTCACATTTTCTTGGCTGAAAGCTGCGTTTTGAACTTGGCACCAGAAACTCCGAGACTTGACTACAGATGACATGAGGGGTCAGGAGAGGATGTGTATTGGTCTGAGCCAGTGCCATTCTGTCTGCGGAAGAGGACGACGATTTGAAAAAAAAAAATAAATAAATGAGGATGCGATGGGAAACGAGAGGTTCCATGGAACAGCTTTAAGATTTATTATTATTTTTTTTTCGAGCACAACTATGGGAGCAGTCAAATATGGATCATTATTATTGGTTGTCGCTGTTTTTGTACCCAATATTTAATTTTGTTTAAAATCTTTTTCCCAGTTACCTTTTTTCTCAGGTTTATGTGTCCACGTATTCTTGCAGAGTGTGGGGTAAGGGTGTTGCCACACGGGTGGGGGGCCGTAGCGAGCGGAATGCGTGGGCGAGCCCTCCGTTCCCACCAATTTGTTGCTGTTGGCTCTCTCCAACGCTGTGCTGGGTGGTTGGCACTCATCATCAGCAGGAAGCCGGATCGCTACATACTGCAGAATCTTGGCTCCCTGCAAGCCTTTGGAGGTGACGAAGGTGCGTGGAGGCAAATGCTGACGCGGGATCCCCATGGTGACTTCGACTTTGGGAGGCTTGGGACAGAAATTATCGGTATGGAAGGTCATGGGTTTTTGTTGAATACGCAGAGGCTCATGAGAGGTGTAAATAAATTTTATTGCGAGGGTTTGAACTCCCTTAGACAATGGAGAGATCTTGGAAGGAAGGACACGGTCTCTCCTCTTGGAAGGGCAAACCTAAACGAGGCCCTCTCTCAGGTACTGAATGAAGAAAGACAGAGCAGGAGGCATAAAAAAACAAATAAACTAGAGGGGTCATGCGAGTCCGTGCAGAATGCGAGGTGGAGCCGTGGCGTGGAGGTTCCTGGCGGCGAAGGGATGGGAATGGAGGTGAAGGAGGGGGAACCACCGCAGCCATGGACTTACAAGAAAGTTGGCTTGAGTCTCGAAAAGGATGACGGTGTGCAGCAATCCGGTGCAGAGCGTCTCAGGCTGATGGTGCTCACCTCGGACAAGGGATGGCCGTACTCGTGGAAATGGAAGGAGAATAAATCCACTCATGACTGCTACGTGAACTGTGAGGTGGAGCGAGTGTGGCGGATCGTCCTTGGCGATCTCACCGAGTGGTTCAACAGTCACGGTCGGACCGACTTTAAGCCCAAGCAGCATCTGTTGATTGGGACGTCCGGGATCGGGAAGTCGATGGCTGTCGGTTCGTACCTCCTCTACCAGCTGCTGCACTACGATGCGGAGAAACTCCCTGTGGTAGTCCATTGTTTTGGAGAAACGACGTACTTGTTTGACAAGACCATCAAGACGGTGACAAGATACCTGGGTAGTAAAACATCCAGGAATGTTTTGTATGATTTGCGTCATTTGAAGATGAAGGGGTATGTTATCTACAATGTGACAGAGAAAGGGATGCCAGCGAGTTGTTTTGCGCCTTGTGGTGAATGGGGCATGATTGTGTTGTCATCGCCAAACGTGGGCAACTATGAAAAATGGGAGACGCAAGTAAGAGCCGAGCGAATCATCGTGAATTGCCCCGACGAGATGGATATGAAGGCGATGTGTGCATGGATGAAGCGCGGTCTGGATCCAGATAAGCAAGCTGAATACTGGAAAGAGGTCAAAGAACGCATGGAGAAATTGGGGCCGATTCTACGTTACATCTTTGATGCGAATAAGTTCATTGCGCACTCTGCTGCCATTGAGGATGCCTTGGATGGGATCAATTCCCGGGATGGTGAAAAGAACTTTACGCATGGAGGAGTGAAACTGTGGTATTCTGAGAATCCGTCTCAAAAGCTCGTGAGGGTTGTCCGAGGAAGAGAAGTCGGTGCTGAGGTGTTTCTCAACGCACCGATATCTGTTTGCCTCGGGCGTCGAATACCGCACTATTTTGGGAAACGTGATGAGTGAGAAGGATATATATATATTCCTGTTGCTGGCATTGGGGGTGAGAATACTCTTTTGTCTGAACGTATGGGAATGTTTGGCCTGCGCGCATTCATTTTTTTGGGAGTTTGCCGCTGCATTATTAGAGGAACTCAAGGAACTGAGGCCACCAGCACGTCGTGGAGGACAGTACGCAGTGCTGAAGGCATATTCTGAAGGGCACCGCGCCGAGTTATATGTGGATTGGTTGCAATGGAGTACCATACAAATACTAATATAAAGCATCGGCTGTTGTGCATACCGGCGGTTGGAACCTTTTCGCTGGTGGACGCCTTTTCTTTGTGAAGTTACCGCGGAGGACGCTGTTTGGGCTGCGGATGGCTACGGCGGGTGCGCATCACACCAGAGCCAGCACTGTGCGGCAGTTCAATGAGCGTATGGCGGCGTATTTTAATGGTTGGGAGGAATTTTCTGAAGGATTGTCGTGGGAGATTATTTATGTGCAGCACGCAGACAGCACGCCGATGGATGGCTGGCGGAGATGTGATGTCGTCAGTTTCAATAATGTGAGCGACAGTGAAAGCCGTGAAATAGCGGCGTTCTGGGAGGAAAAGGTGCACCAGTACCAAATGTCAATACCATCCAGAGACGCTTGAAGAGACGAAGCACTCCGGAGTGTGGAAGAACCGTCGAAATAGGAAAACGAATTGGGGAAAGGGGCAATTTTGATTTGTGGTAAAGAAATATTGTGGGAGTTATATATTTTTGGATACTTTTGTGTGTGCATGCGGTGCGGGTGCACCAGCACCAGGCGGCAGTATATCGCACAGATTTCAGAACTGTCCAACGCTATCGATCTTAACGGTGACCGAAGAAATTAGGGAGGGAGTGGGTTTTTTTTGTTTGGTTTCTGGTGAAAAACGTTGGGTAATTTCTATATAGTACGTTAATTGTGTGCTTGCGCACGAGGCATAATTGGAGAATTGCCCCGGTATGAGAAAATCATTGCGTTTGGCAGTGTCGCAGTACCAATGCATTTTCCATTTTTTTTTTTTTTTTTTTGGCCTCATCACTAACAGAAGCATTTTAAGGGATGGTGGGCGAATAAGTTCTATTGAGGAAACAGTGCATTCCCTGTGACCACGTGGAGTGAGTGCCGCACCCCATTGATGGTGAGACGGCATTTTCGTGCTGGCGCCAACATTGCTTCCCCTTGCGATTTCATGCTTGACTGCAACATGGTGTCAGGGCCGGTTGCCCTGTATTATCCGGGGAAGCCAAGAGCCAGCAATGCTTCCCTCATGGGATTTTTGTTGCTGACGCAGGGCTGACGGCATCTACAAGCGTCCGGACTAGCCGCGTCGTGCCGGGACACAGTTGTGGCACCACGAGGTCTGAGGGCACGTGCTACCGTGCCGTCTGCGGTCCATCGGATTTGTTTGAGAAAGCACGAGAAAAAAGAGAAACATATTGTGTACGCATCCTTCGGGCGTGAGACAGGCTTTTATGGGTGGGTGTTTTTTTATTATTTTGTGTTTGGCGATTCACATATTGGAAGCTAATACAGCGTCCAGAAGGGTTTTATCATTGCAGTAATTATTGAAAGGCGGAGTGCACTTCTTACCACGCCGGCGTATTGGGACGAAAACACGAAGCAAAAGGTTGCGTGCATGGTTTTCAACCGACATGCGACGCGTTTATGATTTTGACTCCCAATATTTACTGCGGGTGGTGACGTTATCTCCAGTGTCCGGCTTTATGGCGTTGGCAACGAATTTATTTCAGAGTTCGAAAGGAGGTCTGATGGAGTATCATACATTCTTGCTTCTGTGCGCCTGACTGGGCAGATGAACTGGATAATGGATGTGGAGAGGAGCCGGAAGGAAGTGGACACCGCCCTACGGAATTGCAGGCCCAATGGCAAGGTTGATCTGCGTACAAAACGTGTGCGTAATTGTCCTGCTTCCAATGAGGGCTTGTTGGCTGTTTGGTAACTTAACCGGTACCGAGCGAAGGGACGAGTACCTCTGCGTGAACGCAACCGTTCATGGGGCATTGACAGGCGCGGAGCGGGGTGTGACGTTCGAATTCGCTGGGGCA